GCTCATTGCCCGGCCTTGGGGGTGGCTCAGAGGCCACGAGTACCCCAGAAGGATCATCCTCACCCTGTGCCTCGGGTCGGGGCTGGCAAGCACATATGCACACGCACATGAACACATAAACACTTGTGTGCACTTGTGCACACACAAATACGTACACACATATGTGCACACACCTGTGCTCGTGCACAGCATGCATGCACATGCACAATGCGTGCACACAAACACGTGTGTACACACAAATATGCACGCACACCCATACATGTGTATACATGGGCACACAATGCACACACCCGCTCGCTCCTGCACGCCTGCAAGCCCTTACACCGGCTCACCCAAGCCCTTCCCCACTCACCTCCCAACTCGCCTGGCAGATGGCACCTATCCCTCAGCCGTGCCCACACATCGCCATGTTTGCACACACTCGCCCACGCGCCATGCAGCCCCACGCCCCCACAGAACACACACCCCGACAGGGGCCCGGACAGCTGGTGTGTGCCCTGGCCCACGAGAGATCCGGGAGGTCCTGGGGCCGGAACCGGGCCAGAGGAGCACGGGAGCTCCGGGTTCTCCTCACAGTGCCCGTCTTTCTGGGCTCTTGCTCCAGGTCTGCTCGTGCGTGGGGGTGGTGGTTGGAGCAGGTGGCACCTTGCCTCAATTTCCCAGCCTGGAAAGTGGGGCCAGAGTGTGGTTCTCGTCTGCCGGCGCGTGTCCTGTGCCCACACAGGGCTGCGCACGGCACGTCTTCCCGTGATGGTGTGGTTGCCACGGGAACGGGCACTACCTGGCCTGTAGGTGCAGGGTGCAAGACCAGGGCCACGACCTGGTGGATGTGAAGCTGGGCAACCCTTCAAAGCCTGCTGACCCTTGGCAAGGCTCAGTAGTCTGTGAGAGTGGGCACGTGACCAGTCACCTTGACCTCTGGGCCCCTTGATGTCCCTGTGCCTCCCCCAGCCCACCTTCTCTGAGAGCCCGCCATTAGCAGGTTCCAAAGTGGGACTGCAGCATCACGCCTGAGAACCTGGCCTCGGCCCCGGGACCACTGTCCTCTGGGCTGCGTGCTTTCCCTTCCTGCTGTTCCCTGCCGTGGCGTCCTTTGAGTCCCTTGTGGCGTCCTTGGGTTTGCCCTGGTGGCGCTAATGCGGGGCATGCTGTTCCGTGCAGCCGTGGCTGAAGCGCCCTCTGGGGATGCTCGGGGTTCTGCCGGGTGTGTGTCCACTCGGGGGCCGGACCCTCTGCCAGGGACAGGGCCCGCTCTGAGCTGCTGGGCCCGGCCACCACAGGAGGTCTAGCGCGTCTTTGGGACTGGGCCTCGGAGTCGGTTCTGGACCCACCAGTGGGGCCTGGGCGCGGGGGTATTGGTGTGGGGGGCCGGAGCCTCTTTGCTGTCCTTTGAGGGCCGGCTTGGGCCTGGTGGGCCTCCTAGCCACGGCCCCGCCTCTGCAGCGTCTCTGGGTGGGGCTTGCGGGCGGGACCCCAGTTCAGGGGCTGCGTGGGCAGTCTTGGGAGCAGGTGGGGGCCTGGTGTGGAGACCCTGCGTGGCCCCCACTGACTCCGAATCCTCCTGCCTCGCGCAGCCTCTCTGCTGCTGGCCGGCCTGGGTGTCTCACACTGGGCGACGTCCCCGCAGGGCAGCACCCAGAGAGGGGCCTGGAGGTCGGGGTCTCCTGGTGCAGCGGGTGGGTGTGGCCTCTTCAGGCTGATCATTCCCGACATCGCAGGGGCCCGTGTGTGTGTCCCAGTCAGCCAGTGGGCATCAGGGGCCCAGAGGTCAGCACGGGGCAGCGGGCAGCAGAGGGGGCCATGTGTCTGGACAGAGCGGGTCTCGTGGCGTCTTCCTTCGGCCTTTCCTCTCCCGAGACCCCATAAGTCTCGACTGCTTGCCTGGGGTACGCTGGCTTCGGCTTCTCTATCTGGCGTTCGCGAGGCCCCGGTGGGCTGCAGACCCTCACAGGGGTCCAGCGAGGGGCACTGGCCCAGTCTGTACCCCGTGGGAGCGGGTCCTGGGGCCCCGAGCACTGCTTGGGAGCTCCTGAGAGAAAAGGGGCCGCTGCTGGGCGGGCATTGCCCGGGATCCTCCTCTCAGCTGCGGGCAGTGGCCACCCCCAGGGCCTGTGCCTGAGCCTCAGAGCCCCCCTTCCCTGCACCCCGTGGGGGTTGGAAAACACCCCAGGCCCGGCCCTGGCCCTGACCTGGAGCCCACGTCTCGGCAGGGACAGGCCCTCTGGCCCTTCCCCGCCTGGCGCCTGCCCCATGTGCTGTGAGTGGGGTGAGGGGGCCCGGGGAGGCCCCCCGCCCCCCCCCCCCCCCGTAGCTGTGGGTGTGGCCGTGATCCAGGTCACGTGTGTCTAGGGCCGGCGGCTCTAGGTGCCCTGGACGGACCTGCCGGCCCCCAGCCTCAGCGTCTGCTGCCAGCACGCGTCAGCGAGCGGCCGGGGCCTTGGCCTTGGATCAGGGGCCCAGGAGTCCAGGGTCCAGGGAGCAGCCCTGCAGGTCTCCCCGCCCGTGGCCTGGCCGCGCAGGGGAAGGGCCATGAGAGCACGGCAGGACGGGGGTCAGCTGGGCCGGGGGTGAGCTGTGCCTCAGCTGTTGAGGGGGCCATCGGCAGCCCGGGGCAGGCTTCAGGCCTGGTGGGACCCAGGTATGTGACCCACCAGGTCCTGCAGGTCCCAGGAGCCCCGGGGCGGGGGTGTCACGGCAGAAGCTGCATGCTGGGTGCCAGGCCCAGGTTGGGGCTCCCTTGGGTGTGTCCCTGGACCAGGAGTGTGCTGTGAGCGCCTTTCCAGCTCCCCAGGCGTCTGCAGGGTCTGGGTCAGTGGCTGGCTGCCACCCAGCCCCGTGCCTGGAGGACCCCCAGGTCTGCATCAGGCCTCATCGGGCCCTTCCTTCCTTCTGGGCCTGGCACATGCCAGGCGGGGCAGTGGGCTGCTGGGGCCCTGGAGCAGCTGCACCACCCCCACCCACCCTGTCCACTCACCGCTGACCAGGCTATTCTTAGCAGCAGAGACATTTGTCCTTTACACGTGCTGCTGCAGCCCCCTGTGATCTGCCCAGAATGTTCGGGGTGACCCTGGAATTCCTCGCAAGCTGGCGGGGTGGGGGTGGGGCAGGGCCAAAGCCGTGAGGGTTTGGGGTTCTCCCCTTCCCACCCCGCACCGGGCACTACCCAGGGACAGGAGCCGAGTGGCGCTTCCGGGGCCCTTGCCGTCTCCCCTGGACATCTGTACCGAGGGAGGTGGCCTGGAGACAGGGCCCTGGTGCTGGGATGGCCCTGGTGGGGCTGTGGGCAGCACAAGCCTAGCTGGGAGGCCTGCCCGGAGGAGGTGTGTTTTGTTGTGTACTTGACACGTACCTAGTTGTACACTTGACCGTTGTGCAGAGCCGCTCACAGTGCACATCACTGTGCGGCCCTCATCATCCAGAACATGTCTATCTTCAGAGACCAGAGCTGTTTCCCTTAACGCCTACCCGCCTTCCTCTCCTCCCTCACCCCGTGGCCTCGGCCCCAGGTAGCGTGTCCCCCTCTGTCTGGGGGGCCCGGCCCTGGCCGCCCTGTGCTCTGTGGGACAGAGCCCGCCTTGCTATGCGCCCCTCCTCGGGGAAACCGCCTTTTGGAAGCCAGATGGTGGCGCCCAGACCCCGCGTGCAGGGCCGGCTGCATGCGGGGGCTCTTGGGGGGGGGGGGGTGCTGGCTGTTGCCCAGCGGATGTGAGCGCACCATGGCAATTGGAAACAGCCGCCGGCCTCACGCGGCGCTCGGCCCATCTGCCGCCCGGACTGGGGAGCGAGGCCTGAGTTTCCCTGTCTGGGGAGTCTCGGGGAGCACCGCCTGCAGTGGGTGGGGGGAGGGGCACCCTGCTGTCCCAGTGGGCTCTGGCTGGGTCTGGGGGTCTTCGATCGTGGTCTCCTGCCACCCCCAAGGGGAACTGGGGGAGATCCCGCGCCCTGTCTGTCTGAGCCTCAGTTTCCCCTACAGGAAGAGGGTGCAGGGGAGGTAGCAGCCATGGGTCTGGGTGGTGCCCCTCTCCGTCGCCCCGCGGGAGGCCCAGTCCGGAGGTTCTGAATGCTGCGACTCTCCCTGGGGCCGCCCCCATCTGGGGCTGTCCTGCAGGCCGGGCCCAAGGGATCCTCCGGACACTCTCCAGATGGGGGTCGGGGAAGCCCGGGGAGGCGGGCAGGAGCTTGGGGTCACCACCGACCCGTCTCTGTCCACCCACCCACCTGCCAGCCGATCAGCCCATCACTCCCCCCATCCACCCACCCACCTGTCCATCCTTCTGTCACCCGCCCACCCAGCCACTGTCCATCTGCCCAGCCACCTGTCCATCCACCGTTCATCCGTCCGTCTGTCTGTCCATCTACCCAGACAGCCCATGGTCCTCTGTTCTTCCGCCATTGCTCCTCGTCACTGACCTGCTTTATGACCACACCTTCCCCCTTCCAGCACCTTCTGGTGACTCCTGACTCACCCCAGAGCATCCCAGCATCACCATGCCTGGGTGGGAGGGGGCATAGCCGGGCGCAGGGGGCGAGGAACCATCCCCTCTGCCCCAGGGGCTCCTGGGGGGGGAACCATCCTCTCTGCCTTGGAGGCCCCTGAGAGTCCCTGGGTGGACCGTCCTCCCTGTCCCGGGCACCCCTGGCCAGGTGCGGTGTCTCGGGGTGCCCCGGGCTCTCGTGGGCACAGTCCTGGGCTGTCTGTCCTGGGGCTGCTGCACCCTGCGACCCTGCGCCTTGCCCGTTTGGGAACGGGAGACTGCCCTGGAGATGGCTGTCCTGGCCGGCGTCCCCAGCTGTCTCAGCCTTGGGTCCCGCCCCGAGCCGTGGGCTGTCCTGGGGCTTCCCGCGTGGACCAGCCGGTCCTGCTGGTGGAGCCGCCTGTGCGTGGGGGCGGGGCCCGGCGGCTGTCACCTGCCTGGGGTGCCCGCCCTGGACGTGCCTCTGAATCGGGGGCCACGGGCCGCGGGGCACAGAGCGGGCTGACCCATGTGCTCTGTTCCCAGGGACCGGCCGGTGCCGGGCCACTGCCCACCCGCTGAGGATGATGCCCAGCTGCTGACCCTCGCCCGGCGGAAGGAGCCCCGGACGCCAGCGCCATGTCCGGGTCCACGCAGCCCGTGGCGCAGACGTGGAGGGCCACGGAGCCCCGCTACCCACCCCACGGCCTGCCCTACCCCGTACAGCTCGCCCGGCCCCACACGGTAAGCTCGGGCCGCTGCCAGCCCTGGTGCCCGGGGCAGGACCGGGCAGGTGTCCAGGCAGAGACCCCTGGGGGGGGGCACAGACTGTCCACGCTCCTGGGCGTCACTTCAGAGCTGGGGTGAGGCGGGGTCGCAGGGTGCAGTGGGGTTCACAGACAGCGTGGCACTGTGGTGCTCTCTGCTGCCTGCCCTTCCTGTGGGCTTGTGTGTACGTGTGTGTGTGTGTGTCACTGCTTGTGTGTGTGTGTGAGACTTCATGTGTGTGTAAGGGTGTGTGCGTGTGTGACTGCTGTGTGTGCATATGTGTGCATGTGACTGCATGCGTGTCTCTGCATTTGTGCGTGCATCTGTGACTGCAGGCGTGTGTGGTTGCACGTGTGTGTGCGCGTGCGTGGATGAGTGCAGGTGTGTAGGACTGCATGTGTACGTACCACCCTTCTGTGCGTCTGTGATTCATGCGTGTGCACGTGCATGCCTGTGTGAGTGTGTGTGTTGCTTGTGTCCTGCCTGGCCCGTGAGGCCTCCGGAGACAGGAAGTGGTTTGGGAGGAAGCACAGGGAGGCGGTTTTGCTCAGGGACCTGCTGACTGGCTGACTGGCTGCAGGGGCCCCAGGGGCTGCAGGGTCAGCACTGACCGAGTGTGAGATGGGCAGGGCCCCGGCACTGAGACCCGTACCCCCGGCCGTGGCAACGTCTCACTCTGCAGACACCTAGGCTGGTCTATGTTTGCTCCCGTCTGGGCGGTCTCTGCGTGGCCAAGTGTCCACTGGGCCCCGGGGCCCACCTGGGCCGCTCCTCCCGGACTGCCTCGCGGCTGCCCTCAACCCCCCTTCGTGTGGCCTCCCCGCCTGCCCCCAGGGCCTCCCCCTTGCCCTGACGTAGGGCGAGGCCATCCGCACCTCTGGGAGACGCCAGGGTCCCCGCGGCTGCCCCTGCCCTTGTCGCTGCTTGTCATGCAGGCCATCAGCTGCCCAGAGGGCTGCCGGGGCACTGGCCGTGCCCTGGGTTTGCGCCCTAGGCTGTCCTGGCCCGTCGCCCGCGTTCCCTTCTGCCCTTTGCCCCAGCTGGGTCCCGCTCTGGTTACTTGGGGTCATCAGCTGACACCAGCTGGGTGTCAGTGACGCAGGAGGAGCTGGATGGGGCCCAGCAGGAGGCAGTGGCCAGGGTCGGCGGGCCCCTGGGCAGGGCAGGACGGGCTGGGACTGCTGTCCGGGCTGTGGGCCACGGGGTCATTGTGCAGGACGTTGCGCTACCGGCCAGCGTTGGGGTTTGCGTCCAAGGGCCGGAGTCTCTAGCATCGATCAGGCCCGGCTGGAGGCCGCCTGTGCTTCCCGGAGCAAGGGCGGAGGGGGGATGGCATGGGGCTGCGTGGGCCCCGGGTTCCTGCCCGCAGGGCCCCTCAGATGCGGCTCTGGACCGCCCCCGAGGTTGCTGGGGAGCCGCGGCCGTGGGCAGCCCTGCCAGCCTGTGCTGTGACCTGAGTGTCTGTGGGGGCGGGGGTGGGTCGCCCCTCTGTCCCGGGTCAGGGCCCTGATGGCTCCCAGCTGGCCTACAGGCCCCAAGGTCGCCCCATGCGCAGGGACGCATGCGGGTCTGGCAGGCGCAAACGCTTGGGCTCTGTGTCCCTGCGGCTGGCCCCTCTGGGCCCACCTTTTCAGCACAAGGGCCGGGGGGATAAAGACGAGGGGAGTCTACAGGCTGTGTGCCGAGCTGGGCTGACCTCCCAGTGGCCCCGGGCGCCTCCCTGCCCTGGGCCCAGCAAGCCCCCGGAGGCTGTCCAGGCTTGGCCATGCGGCTGCGTAACCCTCGCCCACAGCCCTTGCCCGACAGGCGACCTGCCTCTGGCCTTGCCCTGTGGGCGACTTTGACCCAAATGGGCCGGTCTGAGTCACCTCCCCGAGGCCACGCCGACAGCTTCGTGCAGCTGTGGGGGATGAGGCCCCGCACCTGTGTGCTCGTGGGGGTTGGCCAGAGGGGGCTGCCCCCGCCTACACTGCTGGGCCCGTCATTCATTCACCTGGCTGGCAGGCCTCGTTCATTCATTCACACAGAGCACGGCATGTGCCTGCCTTCTCTGCGCACAGCACACTCACACACCCTGATGCTCGCTCCGCACACGCCTACCCCCTCGCACTCAGCTCACCTGTGGCCGCTCGTTCATGCGATCACTCACTTACACACTCGTCCACACTCATCCACACGCACACGCCTTCGCGCGCACACTCGTTCACATTCACACTCGCATGTTACACACATTCACACACTCATTCACACACTCACATTCACACGCATTCTGACACCTGCTCACACTCGCTCACGCATATCCACGTGCTCACTTGGTGGCTGTTGTGCCGTGGGCCCAGACCTCGGGGGCCCCGTGGTACGGCTGCGGCAGAGGTGGCGCTCGGGACCTGCCTCCTGGAATCCAGGCGCAGCGCAGGGTGGGCTCGGCCGGGGGCCCCCGGAGGAGAGTGGGCGGGTCGCCCCAGGCTCACCCCTAACCCCCCAACGCCTGCTGCCTCTGACTCAGACATCGGGGGTCCAGAGCGGCCGCCCCTCGTCCTCACCACAAGCCAGCCCCCCCCCGCGGGGCGGCGCCAAGGCCTAGGGCAAGGGCCGGAGAGGGGTGCACCCTGTGACTCCGCCCAGGGTCTCGCTGTTCCCGCCCTTTGGACACATCTGTCACCTCCGGTGACCTCAGTTTCCTTGTTCAGCTGGGGAGGGCTGAGACTTGGCCTGACTCCTCACCCAGTGCTCGTCCTGTGACACCTGCTGGGCTTCTGCCTCAAGCACGTGGTCTCTGAGCTGTGCCCGCTGTCTCGATTTGCCAGGACAGCTGCCCCATGCTGTGGGCCTGAGCCCTGGCTGTGTGTCCCAGCCCCCGGTGTGTGTGGACATGGGAGGGGTGTGCTTGTACGTTCGTGTTGTTGTTGTGTGTGTGTCTGTAGGACCCAGCCTGGTGTGTCTGGGGAACCAGGAGGGCCTGGTGTAGGGGGACCCTGGTGCAGGGGGCACAGGACCGAGGGGAGGTGGGGGTGTCTCCGGGTAGGAGCACTAGGCAGGGAGCTCTGCGGGACTGAGGGGGGTAGCATTCCCTGGCAGGAGCGCTGGGCAGGGCCCCCGTGCTGGCAGCTGACGCGTGTCCCTCCCCGCAGGACGTGGGGCTGCTCGAGTACCAGCACGGCCCCCGGGACTACGCCTCGCACCTGTCCCCCGGCTCCATCCTGCCTCCCCAGCGCAGACGCCCCTCGCTGCTGTCGGAGTTCCAGCCCGGAAATGAGAGGTGCGGTGGGCCGGGCTGTCCCTCCCCGCGCCCGCCTCAGTCCCTGAGCTGCCTCCGAGCACCTCGGGGTGGGGCGTGCAGGGGTCACGGGACGTGGGCAGGGAGAAGTGTGACCGGTGTGGGCTGCACCTGGGACGCCCCCTGAGCATCGTGGGCCAGTACCTGGGACCCCCTCCCGGGGAGGAGGGCACGGAAGGGCCTGGCCTGGCTGGAGAGTTGGCCCTACTGCCTGCGGTGCCCCGCGCCCCTGCAGTGTCCAGGTCCCGCTCCATGCACCCCTGCTGATTTCCTTTTGGTCCGTTCGGGGCTGCCCCGGCTTCCTCCTGGTCTGCCCACAGGGTCCCCCCGGGTGGGCTCCGGGAACCCTCCTGCTGTGCTGTGGCTCCGCCCAGAGGCCCATCGCGAGGCCTGGATTGGGGGGAACTGTCCGGCCATCAATGGGGTTCACGGGGTCCGCGTGGGCCGCAGGGTGTGATGTGGCTGGCCGCAGGCGAGGGGCCGTCTGGGCCGGGTCCGGGCGCAGGGCCGCTCATCGCCGCTCCCACAGGCCGCAGGAGCTGCATTTGCGGCCGGAGCCACACGTGTACCTGCCCGAGCTGGAGCTCATGGACAGCAAGCGTCCGCGCCTGGAGCTGCTGCCCTCGCCCCTGCTGCGGCCCGCACCCCTGCTTGCCGCTGGCCAGCCCGGGCTGTCAGACGACCTGGCCAAGGTAGGGCTCGCTCGGAGACCACCCAGCGCCAGCCGGAGTCCTGGACCCCGGCGGCCACCAAGGGTCTGGGTCTGGCTGGGGCCTGGTCACTGGCACTGCCCACGGGCACCCATGCCGTCAGCCGTGTGCCCTGCCTCTCCTTCCCGTCCCGTTCCCCTTGAGTTCCTGCTTTCCCGGCTCTCCCCCACCGGGCCTGGTGGGACCCCCCAGGAGCCCCCTGGGGAGCCCGGGCAGTGTCTGCCGTGTGCCTGCGGGTTGGGGCCGGGAAATCAGTGGGGCCTTGGGGCTCCCCCACCCCCCTGTGGGCTCCCTTCTCTGGAGACATTGCTGGCCCCTGCATTCCCAGGCCCTAGATCACCCTGGGGTGGTGTTGGGAGGAGCCTTAGGGCCCTCGTCGGCCCCTTCTGGAAGTCTCCAGCTGGCCAGGACTTGGTGGCTCTAAGGGGACACACTGGCCACCCCAGAGCCCCGCCCGGACCCGAGGTGGGCGGCCAGCTTCAGGTGTGGCTCGCTCCAGGGCGTGTTTGCCTCTGCCTCTTGCTCCTCGTTAGTGTGCTCAGCAGGAGGCGGCCCGGGAGGGCCCCGTCAGGACGTCTGCCCGTCCTGACCTCAGGCCGCCGGCCGGCCGGCTGTGGGAGTGTTGGGTCTCGGGACCCCTGTGTGCCGCTGAGTCTGGCCTGTGTCACCGCAGCTGCTGTAGGACCCTGCACCCGGGCACAGCCTTCTGCCAGGGCTGAGCTGGGCACATGGGTGGACACTGGGCAGCGGGGCCCGGCTCTGGGGGTGGGCCACCCAGGGCCAGCAGGAGACAGGCCTGTGGGGTCCCTGCATGGTGTGTGTGTGTGTGTGTGTGTGTGTGTGTGTGTGTGCGTGCGTGTGCGCCTGCACATGAGTGAGTGTGTACGTGTGTGTGTGTGTGCACGTGTGCGCCTGCACATGAGTGAGAGTGTGTGTCTGCTGGGCGCACATGTGTCTGCTTCCTGCGACGCTGGCCGCCTCTGAACTGTCAGCACAGCCTCTGCTGAGCCCAGCCCCGGGGGGACACGGTCTCGGTGGTTCCAGGAGGGTGTTCGGGGCCCGGGGAGGGCTGGTGGTCAGCAGCAGCCCAGGTCTGCGGGGCAGCACTGGGCGCTGTGGGGGCCGCCCGCACGGTGACCCGGGCCTGTGCCGTTCTGCCCAGGACCGGAGCCTGGCGGGCAAGCTGGAGCCCGTGTCCCCGCCCAGCCCGCCGCACGCCGACACTGAGCTGGAGCTGGAGCCGCCGCGGCTGTCCAAGGAGGAGCTCATCCAGAACATGGACCGCGTGGACCGCGAGATCGCCATGGTGGAGCAGCAGATCTCCAAGCTGAAGAAGAAGCAGGTGCGCTGGCTGCGGGTGGCCGACTCCCGCAGGCCCAGCCACCTGGGGGCTGCGAGGCAGGAAGAGACCTGGTGGGGGGGGGCAGGAAAGGGTCAGGTCCAGGGAACTGGTGCAAGACCGCTTCTTCCCTAGGCCACACGCCCGACCCCCACGCCTTCCGCACCCGCCCTCCTCACATCCCCCCTCTGCTGCCCCTCGCAGCTCCCCTCGCGTTCTCCTCACACACCCTCCCGCGCACCAGCACCCTCGTCTCTCGTGTTTGGGCCCTGGGTTCTGCGCGGCCCCCCAGCCTTCTGGCAGCCTCCTGGCGGCCTTTTGTGTTCGCCGGGGGTCGTGCTCTCCTGCTGCCCCCCCCCCCCCCCATGAACCTCCCCTTCCCGGCGCCTCGTGTGTCCTTGTCACCTGGGCTTGGTGGAGGGGCTGTGGGCGAGCGCTGGCTGTCCCCGGGCGCTGCTGGGCCTTCTCCCGGCGGGCGGCTGGGCGAGCGGAAATGGGGGTGTGCGGGGCAGCCGTCCCAGCCCGGAGTCCTGGGTGACTCAGAGGAAGTGGTCAGCAGCCTGACTTCCGGCCGCGGGCTGCGTGGGGCCGCCCCGGCCGCTGCGCTCGGCTCGTCCTTCCGCCCCTGCGCTCACCACTGCGCTCTCCTTCCCGCAGCAACAGCTGGAGGAGGAGGCGGCCAAGCCACCCGAGCCCGAGCGGCCCGTGTCGCCGCCGCCCATCGAGTCCAAGCACCGCAGCCTCGTGCAGATCATCTATGACGAGAACCGGGTATGCGCCCCGCCCTGACCGCCACTCCTTGTCCTGGGGGGGGGGGGGGGGCGTCGGCGAGACCCCCCGCGGGCAGCTGCACGCGTCCTCCAGGTCAGGCAGGGGCTGCTGGCTGCACGGGGCTGCAGGACCTTGAGCCTGGGGCTCACTCCGGGGCAGGCCATGGGGTCCCGATGGTGATGCGGGGTACTTGGTGGGGCCCCACGAACCCACCTGGGGTGTCCCGGACTCCTGGCGCTAAACCCTCAGCTCCCCCCCGAGGCTGCTCTTGGCCGGGCTTCGCCAGCTGCTCTGTCGGGGACGGGTGCCGGTGGCCGGTGGGTGGGGCTGCTGCCTGGCGTCCGGGTGCCCCTGCGTGGTCTTGACACAGCCCTGCCCGGGCACCAGGCACCTCCATGTCGCCTGAGTCCCCTGGCCTCCGCGCCAGGGGACGGGCCTCATTCGGCCCGATTCCGTGGGCCCTTGTCCAGGCGCGGTGTGGAGAATTGCGGTAGGAGGAAGCAGGCTCAGGGTGGGCAGGGGCTGCCCGGAGGACGGGGCAGGGGGCAGGGGGCAGGCCTTTGGGAAGCCCGCTCACCGCTCTGGCTGGGGTCACGAGGGCGTTGGGGATGGGCCTGTCCTCTCTGAAGCCCCGTGTCCTGCGGGGGCCAGTGGTGCCCGGGCGCCAGTGCTGCCCCTGTGGGAGCGGCTGCCCCCTTTGCGCCCCCCATATTTCCATGTGCACGCGGACTGGCACACACGACATGCCGCGTCCAGCACACGTGTGCGTGCACCCACAATTGCGGGTGAGGAATGGGCGCACGGCTGGTCAGGGTTCGGGTCTGAGTTCGTTCATTTGCCCACTCGCGCCTTGTTCATTCACTCATGCCTCAGTCACTCACGCCTCATTCATTCACTCATTCGCTCACTCACGCCTCGTTCTCTCACGTGTCACTCATTCCCGCCCTCTCTCACTCAGTCACACACTCATGCACTCAACGCGCTAGTGGCCACGGACTGGCCCGGTGCTGTGGGTGGAGGAACCGTGGCCCAGCCCACCCTGCCGGTTCCTAGTGCAGGGGGCAGGTAGATCCTCCCACATATCCCCACTGTGGGCAGATGCCCTTTGGCCTGGTAATCCTGAACACCCCCACCCCCCCCCACGGCTCCCTGCCAGCTGCTTCGGGGCCTTAGCACGACTGAGCCCTTTGCCTCCGGGCTCGCGCTCACCCCTTCAGCACCTGCCTGCAGCCGGTTTGGGTGTTCCAGCACCCGGAGCAGGGGCAGGTGCAGCCCTGGGAAGTGTCTTCCGGGCCAGTGGGGAGTGGCTGCAGGGACTCACTCCTGGCTGGCAGGGCACCCGCAGGAAGGCAGGGGTGCGGGCAGGAGGGAGGCTGTTGGACCACACCCCACTGGGAAGGCTCTCTGGAGCGGGGCTGGGCCCCGTGGGCACAGACTTAGGGAGGGGCCGGATCTGTTGGATCCTCAGGAGAGGGGAGAGGATGGGGTACTTGCCCGAGGCTGGGGAGAGCCCACTGCAGCCCTTGGGAGGGGTGCATGAGGAAGGGACAGCATGTTGCACCCTCGCTGGAGCTCAGGCTGGGGCAGTCCGGGCAGACTTCCTGGAGGTGGCGCTGGAGCTTGTTTTGCAGCCGCGGGCTTGGCCGTGAAAGGCAGAAAGTTCTTCCCAGGGGGGAGGGCTGGGCCTCCTCCCCAGCCTGGAGCTGCTGCCGGTGTGTGGAGGCAGAGCCCGACTGCAGCGTGGTGAGGGGCAGCAGGCAGGCCCTGGCGCCCTGGCACAGGAGCGACTGGCTGCAGGGGAAGCCAATCGTGGGGTTTGGGGGCATCCGCGCCCGGTGCCTGAGTCTGGGGCCCAGGGTCTGGCTCAGGCACTGTGTCCCCCGTCCTGATGAGCGTGTCAGGGTGCTGGGCCCCTGTTGCCCCTCTCTCCCTGCCGGCCTGTGTGGCCCCGCGTGCGCGCAAAACCCTGGACACAGGGTTCTGCTGCCCTTGGGCTCGGGGCCCCTCTGCGGGTGCGGTGGAGTGTGTGTGTGTGTGTGTGTGTGTGTGTGTGTGTGCGCGCGTGTGTGTGCGTGTGTGTGTGCGTGCGCGCGCGCCACTGATGCCCGTGTGAAGCCGTGAGAGCCAGCCCTGCTCCTGCCCGTTTGCTGGGCACTGTGCACATGTGCCGTGGCACACGTGAGATGCATGTAGGACGCCCGCCTAGCACATATGTGATGCATGTGAGACACCCGTCTGCCACGTGGGTGCTGCGTGTGAGACCTAGCACATGTGTGATGAGCTTGAGACACCCACCTAGCACACGTGTGGTGCATGTGAGATGTCTGCCTGGTGCACGTGTGACGCGTGCCTGGGCTCCGAGCAGACCCCAGCCCCCCTGACCCCAGCGCCCCCCACGTCCTTGCAGAGCCCCTTCTCCCGTGGTCCCCCGAGTAGACGTAGACGTGGGGTGGGTCCTGGGCAGGACATGGGTGACCGTCCGCCCTGGTCACTGGCCGTGTTGAGAGAGGTGAGTGGCGCCTCTGCCCTCCAGGCCCCAGGGCTTTGCACCTGGGGTCGTGGAAGCCAGAGTGGCCTGCAGAGGCCGGAGCAACGGGCAGGGAGCCGGGGCCCGGCTGGTGGGGGAGCCGGGGAGAACAGGGGCCGTTTGTTGGCGGGAAGCTTGGCGGGTACGGCAGGGCACGCAGGGGACTGAGGCCCTCGGTGCCGCAGCCCTCCCCCAGCGTGCGGCCGCCACCCCCGCTGCCCTGCGCCTGCCTCCTCATTGCTGTCCTCTCCTGCAGAAGAAGGCCGAAGCCGCACACCGGATCCTGGAGGGCCTGGGGCCGCAGGTGGAGCTGGTGAGCGGGGGTGTGTGTGTTTGGGTGGGACTGGGCACGCTCTCCCCATTGGGTGACCCAGGCGGGTGCTCCCCGGGGGAGGGGCTGTCCCTGCAGAGCGAGGCGGGCGGGTGTGGGGCCCTGGCTGGCGTGGGGACACTCACCCCTCCGCTCAGAGACCGGCCGGTCTCCCTGTCGCGCGGGGCCCGGGGAGGACGGTGTCCGCAGCCGGCCTGAGTTTCTCCCCTCGAGCTGGGGTGCTGTGAGGGTCCCCCGACACCTATGGGAGCGGCCGAGTCGGACCTGGCCCCCGGCGGACACTGGCCTGTCTGTCCCTCCCTGAGAGGCCCCCCCAGCTCTGCAGCTCCATGGACGTGTCACCCGTGCCCATTGAGAGCCGCGGTCAGTGGCGCTGAGCCCTTCTGTGCACAGCTGCCCGCATGGCTGGCTGTGGCTCAGTGAGCACCGTGCTCTTGGGGGTCCGAGGCTGCCCCCGCCGACCAGGCAGGGTGCCCGCTGGGTCCCAGGGGAGACAGGCACACCCTGGGGCATTGCTGGAGCCTGGGGGTCTCCACGAGGGCCTGGAGAGGGCGCGCCTGGGTCCTGGGAGGGCAGCGTTCGCAGGACCCCCCCCGCCACACGTGTACACACGCATTTACTCATGTACACATACACGCACTCCCGGGCACAGATGTGCACATCTGTGCATGCAGCTGCACAGATACACACGCATGTTGAACACATCCACACAGATACACATTCACATGCACATATGTACCTTGAATACATCCACACACAGGCTCACACATAATGGGCACATCCACATAACAGCACGCATGTTTATACACATGGTGAACACATTCACACGAATGGACATGCGTTTACACACATGATCGTAGTCACAGATGCACATATGTGCACAGACACGATGAACACATCCACACGGATATGCACACATGGACCATGAACACATCGTGCACTCCATGCCTCTGCCCCTGCCCTGCCCTGCCGGCCAGCAGAGCCTGGGGCTGCCCTCAGCCTCACCTACCCTGGGGGGGGGGGCCGGGGGCCCTCCTGGTGCCATGGCCGTTTGGTGGGGTCAGCAGCCTGTCCTGGCTGTGCCCAGGCTGGGCCCTGGTGCTCAGCCGTGGGAGGGGCGGGTGCCCTGACACCCACTTCTGTTGCAGCCCTTGTACAACCAGCCGTCAGACACCAGGCAGTACCATGAGAACATCAAAATGTGAGTGTGGGCTGCCACCCGGGCGGGCAGGGGGCCTCAGAGGCTTGGGCGGCGTCCCTGGCATAGGTGAGGCCTGGGCAGGCAGGGCTACCCTCTCGTTTGCGGGGAGGCTCTAGGGCTGGAGGGCGCCGTGAGGGGGCCCAACCCCGACACCGGCATCTGTCTGCGGCTGGGGGCGTGTCCAGCCAGTGGGGACACCGGCCCAGCCCTGTGGCTCTGGGGACCAGCCCGGGAGTGAGGGGTGCGGCGCCCTGTGCTGGGGGCCCATCACCCCCAGAGGGCATGGTGGCACCTGGCCCTGTGGGCTCCCAGCTGGTCAGGGGTGTCTCTGTTGGGGTGCAGCACCTGGGGTCCCCCTAGAGTGGGGCTTCTCGCTCCGTCCCGTGCTCCTCTGTTGGACGAGGCTCAGTGAGCAGCCGGGTGTCGGGGTGTGGAGTGCCGGGCTGCAAGAAGCTCATTTGGCGAGATAGTTTCCACGGGGTAAAACGGACAGAGGACAGCGGCGAGCAAGAGAGGACGTGTGTTCAGGAGAGACCGTGGGCTTTAGGAGGGGAAGGCAAAGATGCACAGGGACTTGGCGGGGGAGGGCGAGAGGGGCGAGAGAGAGGGAGAATGCCCGCTGGGTCAGTGCACAACGGGGGGACAAAGATGGCGCTGGGTCAGGGTTCTGCAGCCATGGCCGGCAGGCAGGGGGCCAGGGGCCGCCCCGGTCAGGGAGCCCCCCGTGGGCGCTTCTGTCCAGACGTGGCCGTGGCGAGGCGCTGACAGACTGTGCTTCCCCAGAAACCAGGCGATGCGGAAGAAGCTCATCCTGTACTTCAAGAGGCGGAACCACGCCCGCAAGCAATGGGTAAGGCTGGGACCCGGCTGCTCCGGGTGGGCTGAGGCGGGGGAGGGGGCGACCCCTCACACCTCCTGCAGCCAGCAGGGCGAGCTGCCCGCCCAGGAAGCCAGCCTGCGGGCATCAGGAGCGGTTCCCTCCGGGCTTCCCTCCAGGGACTGTGCCGTCCCCCAGCTCTGCCTGGTGTCCCCAGGGGCGTGAGGACACCCCTCTGAGCTCCCACAGCACCTGGAGGCTGTGGGCCCCTTGCACCCGAGGCCCCACCAGGGAGAAGGCGTTCACACCCCTCGGCAGGGACAGCGTGGGGGCGGGGCCGCAGTGTCCACCCATGACGGTGCTGCCCTGTCTCAGGAGCGGCGGCCTGTGACTTTCTGTGGCAGATCTGAGCGCGTCCTGCCCCCCAGCCTGTCCTCCAGCAAGGCCCCCCCAAGGGGCTGTGTCCTGCGTGGGGGTCTGGGGCTCGGGAAGGAAACGGGTGCCAGGGCCCGGAGTGCCCAGAGGCCGTGGGTGCAGGGGAGTCTTTGAGCTGTGGGCACTGGGGTCCGGCGCTCGCCTGTGTGAGAATGGGGGCTCCCAGCCGCCCTGCTCAGCTGCCTTGGACCCCCGGGGGGGCCGGGATGGATGCGGGGTGTGGAGGCAGGTAGGGCTCGGTCAGGGAGGGAGGATGTGGGGGACGGTCCCCAGCGAGTGACGTTTGCGGGCGCACAGCTCAGAGTCCCCACACTGACACCCGGGAGGACAGCTCTGTGCCCGCTCTTGGGCACGCATGCAGGGGCGAACACGTGCACATATGTGAGCTCACACCTGTGTGTAAGCATGTGCATTCATGGTGGTTCTGGTGAACACGTGTCCATTAACATGCATGCGTATGTGACACGCATGCGTGAGTAGTGTGAATGGTGCATTCCGTACACATGAGCACTGTCCATGTGAGCCCTGCCTGAGCACTATACTCGTTCACATGTGAGCACTGCATTGTCGGTGTGGGAGCAGAGCACAGACACGCGTGGTAGGGCCTGTGAGTGTGGGTTGGCTGGCCGGCCCCTCCCTCGGCCTGTGTGTTTCCCGGGAGGAAGGAGCCTTCAGCCCCGCCCACTCCTGGGGGTCCTTGAGCAGGACGCGACTGTGGGGGGGGGTGCTGAGGGGCTCCACGGGCTGTTTGCGGAAGAGGAACCGGAGCTTCTAAGAACTCGGGCGGCTTGTGGCTGGGCGGCCTCTGCGGCGGGTTCCGGAAGCGCAGATAGCGGGGCACGTGTGGAGGGGGTCCCGGGGGCCCCGACGGCAGGCAGCTTCCTCTTCAGGGGCCTGGCTGCGCGGCTTGTCCGGGGACTCTGGCTTTGGGGCTCACCTCACCCTCGCCAGGCTCCTCTCCAGTCTGGGCGCCTTGGGGGTGCTTCTCTGCACCCGCCAGCGGGCCTCCTGGGTGTGGGGTACCCCCAGGGTTAGGGGTGCTCTCCAGGTTTGGGGTGCCCCCATGTTCAAGTGCCTCCCGGGTTTGGGGTACTCCATCAATGTGGCTCGGGGTGGCCGCCTTTGGTGCTGTCTTGCTTTGCCGTGGGTCTCGGAGAGGCCACTTGGGGCCTCACAGTAGGGTGACCTGGATGCTGGTCAGAGGCTGGCCAGGGGTGGCCTTGGTGCAGGGGTCTGCTGCTCCGAGCTGCTGAGCTCGGGTGCTGGAGGGACCGGCGCAGGACAATGGTTCTCGGCCAGACCCACGCTGGAGGCTGTGGCGGTCACTGGGCGGTGGCAGGGCCCGAGCTGGGAGTGAGGAGCTGCTCAGGACGCAGACAGATGTCCCGGGGCTACAGGCTCCCAGGCACCGGACGTGCGCTGTCCACTCTACTGGGTGGCCGGGCCGCCATGGAAGGGCTCCTGAGAGAGCCGGGCACAGCCAGGCCTCAGCTGGGTACCCCGTGAGGCTGAATAGGAGCAAAGGGGGAGTGGCCATGTATGCTTGTGTTGTGGATATGATTGTCTGTCTGTGGGAGTGACCGTGTGTCTCCGTGGACACGACCGTGCGTGTGTCTGTGGGCGCGACTGTGCAGGTGTCTGTGGGAGTGACCGTGTGTCTGGATACGACCATGCGTGTCTGTGGGAGTGACCTGTGTGTGTGTCTGTGAGTGACTGTGTGTCCATGGGAGTGATCGTGTGTGTCTGTGGGAGTGACCCTGTGTGGGTGGGAGGTGTCTCCATGGACCCTTCCGCCCTGCAGGAGCAGAAGTTCTGCCAGCGCTATGACCAGCTCATGGAGACGTGGGAGAAGAAGGTGGAGCGCATCGAGAACAACCCGCGGCGCCGGGCCAAGGAGAGCAAAGTGCGGGAGTACTACGAGAAGCAGTTCCCCGAGATCCGCAAGCACCGCGAGCTGCAGGAGCGCATGCAGAAGTAGGCGGGCGGGAAGCCGGGGGAAACTGAGGCTGGAGGTTAGAGTTCTCCCGTGGGCAGGGTGTCAGACCTCTCCTGGGTCTGGGGATCCTGCTCATGGGGGCTGTCGCCTCCCTTGGACCCTGGGGGCCTGGCGAGGGCGGATCTTCCCCATTGTCTCACCACCTGCCCGCCTCTAGGGAGTCCGCAACTGCTGTCATCCCAGGGGTGACCCATCCCGTGATCCCGAGGGTGTCCTGTCCCGTGATCCCGAGGGTGTCTCGTCCCGTGGTTCTGAGGGTGTCCTGTCCCGTGGTTCAGGGGTTGTCCCGTCCTGTGATCCAGAGGGTGTCCTGTCTCGTGGTTCTGGGGGTATCCTATCTTGTGGTTCTGGGGGTATCCTGTCCGTGGTTCTGAGGGTGTCCTGTCCTGTGGTTCTGAGGGTGTCCGTCCTGTGGTTCTGGGGGTGTCCCGCACCATGATTCTGAGGGTGTCCTATCTCGTGGTCCTGAGGGTGTCCTGTCTCATGGTTCTGGTGGTGTTGTGTCCCGTGGTTCTGAGGGTGTCGTGTCTTGTGGTTCTGGGGGTGTCCTGTCTCGTGATCCCGAGGTGTTCCAGGAGCCTCAACTCTGCCCTTTGGTCCCCAGCAGGGTGGGCCAGCGCGGCAGTGGACTGTCCATGTCAGCAGCACGCAGTGAGCACGAGGTGTCGGAGATCATCGATGGGCTCTCGGAGCAGGAGGTAAGGCCACGCCGGCAGGTCCCCAAATGGCAGAGGCTTCGGTAGGGAAGGGCAGCCGAGGGCGGGCGGGGGCACTCCAGGGGGCTGCAGGAAGGGCCCATGCACCTCAGAGGCCCATTGCGAGGAGCAGGTTCAGCGTCCCCCACGTCTTCCTGCCCAGCACGTAGGGGTGAGGCCAGCGCGGTACCTGTTGGAGCTGCTGTTCTTGTGGCCCGTCAGTGTCTGCCAGGGTGACTGTCTCAGAGCCGCCCCAGCCCTGGGCGAGGAACCCAAAGTGTCCGAGTCCATGTGCTGCAGCTCTGTCCCACGCACAGCCGGGCAGAGCATAGTCAGGAGGTTCGGGCACAGGTCCAGTTGGACAGGGACATCCGGGCCAGAGGGTGCCCGGCCTCCAGGGTGCCCAGGAAAGCGTGGGTCTGCCGTGCTCTCTGGCCCTTCACCTGGACACAGGCCAGACCTTCCCGACATCACACCTACCCCACGCACTGCCCTGGGCCCTCGGTGCTGAGAGGGCCAGCTGCGTGGGGGACAGACTCAGCAGAAACGCCCCTGTGGGCAGGGTGGGCACAGAGCAGACCCTATGGAGCCCCCGCCCTAGCCTGGCCAAGGACACGGGGGAAGACTGGGGGTGGCACTGAGCTGGGGCTGGGCTGTCTCCCCATTGCACCCCCAGGGAGCCTGTGGCTGGCCGCTGCCGTTAGCCGCTTGGAACCTCTGAACAGCCTTCCCGGGGCATGTCCATTGCCGCTGCCTGCAGGCCACTCTGGGAGCCCAGAGCCAGGGGTGGGAGGGACAGTCTGGAACCTTCTGGCTCTTTTGGAACCAGGCAGCCCCTCCCTGTCCCTCCACTGGCCGCCAGAGCAGGAGCCGGGCACCCCCGGCCACTCCTGCTGCCCATGTCCCCGCAGAACCTAGAGAAGCAGATGCGACAGCTGGCCGTGATCCCGCCCATGCTCTACGACGCCGAGCAGCAGCGCATCAAGTTCATCAACATGAACGGGCTCATGGACGATCCCATGAAGGTGTACAAGGACCGGCAGGGCATGAACATGTGGAGCGAGCAGGAGAAGGACACCTTCCGGGAGAAGTGAGTGTCTGGGGGCGGGGCTCCAAGGCTGTGGGGGTGGGGCTTAGGGGCGGGGCTCGGTCAGGGGCGTGGCTCCAGGCATGGGGCGGGGCTTTGGGCGAGGCTCGGGGTGGGGCTCCAGGGGAGAGAGAGCGCTGACCGACTGCAGGGGTTCCTAGGCTCCTGGAGGCGCAGGGGTTTCCCAGGCTTCCCTGGGGGCAGGCACAGGGATACTGCCTGTCCCCTGTCCCTCCTGGGCTCAGAGACAGCTCACCCCCCCAACCCCCTTCCCGGGAGCTTTCCCTGGAGGTCTCCATCTGCCTTCCTTCTCCATCATCCCTTCCTAGGATGATCAGGCAGTGGGTGCCCAGCATGCCTGTGTCCCAGGCATGTCTGTTTGCAAACAGGCAGCTTGTGCCGCTTTTGTGGACATGAGGCAGGGCCCTTCCGGCCGGCTGAGGGACCTGTGGCCCTGTTTTGTGTCGGGCAGCTGTTCTGTGGATTTGGTGCATTGCTCCTTTGTTTCCTGATGGTGAGCAAATAGGCCTAGAGAGGTTGGGACACATTTCTGCCACGGAGAGCTGGTGTACTGGAAAGGCAGGCCTCAGAGCCCCAGCTTTGCCGCGGGGGATGGAGTGTGTGGGGGTCGCTTCCGGCCTCTGCATCAGGGAGTGTGTTAGTTTGGGGGCTGCCCCGTCACCCTCGGGAATGGGCTCCCGCCCCCAGTGTCTGGGTTGTTGCACCTGGGGAAAGTCTCCTCTCCGCGCTCCACCAGTCTGGACTTGCCACTGGCACTGAACACAGGTGGAGGGGAAACTGAGGCAGAGAGCCCAGCGTTTGACCAGGTGCGTGACAGGAGGCTCCGAGGAAGGCCTGACTTCAGGGTGCCTTCCTGAGGCTGTGCCGGTCTGGGTCCCCCGGCGCCGGTGACACCAGCGCTTGGGAATGACACCCGGGATTGGCGAGGGCCTTGAGTGGCAAATAAAGATTTCCAGGCTTGCTGTTGACGGTGGAAATTTCGAAACATCTGGAATACAGAAGGCGGGGCAGAGGAGCTCCGCCTTCTCTGTGCGGTGGGTTTGCCGTGTGGAGGGATGCCGGCCGCTGGGAGGCGCCTGTCCCAGACACGGTGCCCACCCCCCGAGTTGTGGGGGTCCCTGGCACTGAGCGGGAAGGTGCTGCCGGAGGGGGCTCTGCGCTTTCCCAGGACAGCTGTGTGCCGGGTGGCCCTGCTGCGGGCTCCTGGCATGCTTGGCTCTGGGACACCCACGTGGGCCGAGGGAGGTCTCGCTCTCGGCAGGCAGGCGTGGCCCCTTCAGCACCTCCGCATCCTGGCTCTGTGGCCTGGAGTCAGCCACTGCCCTTCTGAGTCTCAGTTTCTCAGTTGGTGCAACTGCCCGGGTGCCCAGTGCCTTGGAAATCTTGGGCAGACTTGGGCACAGGCCGGCGTGGGTCGGCAGGAGGGTGGCAGGCCCAGCCTGGGGAAACCCCGAGGCGGGCGTGGTGGGAGGAAGGGCTGTCTGGGTGCGAGCGGGGCAGGAGGCGGCTCTGGCTCTCAGGCAGGCGCGTTATGGGCGTGGAAGCCAGAGGCCTTTCCGGATTCTCCGTGTCTGGTGGGGGGGAGCGGGGAGCGGCCCGCTGGCTTCCTGCCCAGCCATCTGGAGGCAGGACCGGCAGAGCACATGGCTCCGGCTCCCCCGGGAGCACGGCCCGCAGCCAGCAGCCTCATCGCCCCCCTTGGGAGTTGGGGGGTGGGTACAGGCCTGGCTGGCCCCGGGCCCGCGCCCCACCCGCCTTCATGGTGCTGTTCTCTCCACCCGCGTCCTGACATTTCAGCCCCGGGGAGCCCTTTCCCAGTAACTTTCCCGGCTTTGCAGGAAGCCAGTTGGTGGGGTGCCAGCTCCCTGACTCCTTGGCCGGCCTCCCCAAGGCGCCCGCCTCGGCTCCCCGCACCCCACCCCCATGACTGCCTCCTGTGACCTGCGACCTCACGGGGCCCACCCGTGCTGAGGCTCTGCTTCCCCGGCCCAACAGGGCCAGAACAAAGCAGCTTCTCGAGGGGCCTCCAGTGGCTGCATGTGATGTCCTCGTTTTTCCTGGAAGCTGCCTCCAGCAGGACAAACAAATGTATTTTCAAAGGCCCTACAACCTGTGACTCACTGGCCGGGACCGCGCCCCCACCCTGCCCGCCCGCTGCCCGTCCCACACCCCCTGGGCTTCATCGCTCGCGAGGGGCAGTGTCCGGGCCTGGGGGGCCTCCGGAGATGGTGGGAAGCCTCTGGGCCCCGCTCATGGCCCCTGTCTTCTCAGGTTCATGCAGCACCCCAAGAACTTCGGTCTGATTGCCTCGTTCCTGGAGAGGAAGGTGAGTTCCGGACCTGTCCCCGGGCCACACTCCCGCTCCCGTCCACCCCGCCATGTGCCTGCACCTCTGGGGGCCCGGCCAGTGGGGGAGGTGGTATCAGAGAGCTGGGTGGGGGTACACACCCTCCGTCCACTGCTGGACAGCAACCAGCCCTGTGTGCCCAGAAACTGAGCAGGCCCCGCCCTCGTGCAGACCCCGCCCTACGAGGCCCCCACCTCACCATGCCCACAGTCCCCTCCACGAGGCCCCCCCCACTAGGGCTGCCCATAAGCCCTGCCCACAGGCTCACAAGGACCCGCCCGTGGCCACGCCCACAGGTAGGGCCACCCACAGGTCCGAGAGGCCATGCCCACACAGGGCGCCCACAAACTCCGCCCACGGGGCTGCGAGGTTCCGCCCCCAAATGGCCACGCCCACGCACTTCCACTCAGGTGGCCCCGCCCCCAGCCTCTGCCCAGTACCTGTGGCCCTCGCAGGGTCGCCCTTTGTGGGCACCTGCTTCCTGCTGCGGGAGGAGGCCGACCTAGCGGGCCCTGGGGCCACACTGCTCAGCATCCCCCCTGTGTCCACTGCAGACGGTGGCCGAGTGCGTCCTCTACTACTATCTGACCAAGAAGAACGAGAACTACAAGAGCCTGGTGAGGAGGAGTTACCGGCGCCGTGGCAAGAGCCAGGTGAGCAACTGCCTCCGGGTGCCATGAGGCCTCTCCGGGGGCGTTTAGTGCACCAAGGGGCAGAGAAGAGAGGCTCAGTTCCTGGGTGCCGGGTCCCCGGTGAGGGTCAGTGCCAGGGTGCCGAGCCACCAGTGAGGATCAGTTACTGGGTGCCAGGCCCCTAGTGAGGGTCAGTTCTGGGGTGCCGGGCCCCTGGTGAAGGTCAGTTCCAGAGTTCCGGGCCCCTGTTGAGGGTCCGTTCTGGGTGCTGGGCCCTACAGTATGGAGGTAGGGGAGACAGTGGCCTTGGTCACCCAGGCCCTCTGCTGTCCATCTTTGGCCCTGGGCTCTTGTGTCACCGTCCCCCTCCCTGGAGCCTGCCAGGACGGCAGAACAGTCCCTCCTGGGTCAGACCCAGCTGCAGTTGTGGGCTTGGACCACCCGGACCCCCACGCTGCTGCCATCACCCCTGTCTGGGCACCCAGCAGGCCGCCATCAGAGCGCCTGAGGTGCCTTCCTGCTTCCCAGTGGGACCTGCACCTTCCAGAAGTTTCTCCATGTGCTGCTGGAAGGGGTCACAGCCCAGCCAGAGATCTGCGGTGCTGGTCCCGGTTGCATCCGCTCCCCTGCTGGGCCCCACGTCTGGCCGCCTCCTGGGCCTAGGTCCTGAGGTCCGGCTGTGTCGGGTTCCTGTGGGCTGAGCCAGGCTCAGGGTGAATCACTGGGCAAGGCGGGGGCACCGTGGTTACAGCTCTGATTCACGGAGGGACCTGCACGGGGATGGCAGGAGAGGAGCACCCGCAGACTGGCCCCCTTCCTGCCGAGCACAGGCCCCCGGGTGGCCAGCTGACGGGCTCAGCACAAGGGGCAGGAGGTGTACCCGGCCGGTGGTCATGGGGCCCTAGGACTGGGGCCAGCAGAGAAGGAGGGGGACAGGGAGAGATGTGAGCCGGCCCTGCATGGGGGGCAGGGTGGGGAAGAGTGTGTGGTCAGCGGCCAGCTCGGTGGCCTGCTGAGAGTCCCGTCCAGTCACAGCCCTGTCTTGGTGAGGATGGGGGCATCCAGGGTGTCAGGTGCTTTGTAGGGAGCTGATGACTGGACACGTCTCTGAGGAGGTGCTGGGGCTCAGCCCTGACAGCAGACACAGCCAGGCCAAGGCCCAGGGAGGGCGGCTCTAGCCTGGGACTGTGTCCTCCTGGGCCCCCAGACCTGCCCAACTGCTGTGTATGCAGGGACAGACCTGTGTGTGCATCTGAGGGGTCCCCTGCTTTCTGTCGAGGACAGAACACAAGTCCAGCCCTCAGGGAGCTGGGCTGGGCCCCCCCGGCCCCTGATGGCTACCAGGAATGTCTCAGCAGGGCCCGAGAAACGAGAACCCCAGGCTCTGGGACCTGGTTGGGACATGCTGTATATCAGAGGGCCAGTTCCTTACCCTCTCTGTGCCCTCTTCCAAGCATTCTTGGGGCTCACTTAGCACGTCTTGGCTTCGTTCTGCTGTTCTCCGCCGTTCTGCGTCTGCTGAGCCCGGGGCACAGGTGTCCCGGCCCCTTGTCTGCGGTGTGGGGTGTCTGCGCCATCGCGGCCCTTGGCAGGTCTCGGAAACAGACTCGATCCTGGGTTCCGGGTCGGCTATGACAGGGTCTGGATTCGGGATCCCCCAGGCGCTCTGACTCCACATCCGGCCCAAGGCCTCCAGCCCACATGTCCACTGCCCGTTGCTGCCTGGGGGAGGCCGGGGTGGGCCTGGGGTGAGCCCCGCAGGACAGGGTGAAAGTGTCTGGGGCACGGACGCCCCCTTCCTCCTCCCCACGGTGGCTGCAGGGGCGATGAAAGACCCGGGCCTCAGGACCCGCCCCCAGTTGGGCGCTTCGGAGTGAGCATGCTCTTCCCCCTCTGCCCCTGGCCCATTTTCGGGACGCGGAGGGAGATGGACGCCTGGAGGCGGGGCCCGGCTGCAGGGTGTGTTCCCCAACCTGCTCACCGCGTTCGCCCGAGGCTGGCCAGCACCCCCTCGGGGCTCCGGCCTGACGCCGCGTCCTGCAGCCCTGCCCGGATTGGCCCGTCCTGCCCCAGGCCTGCTGCGCCCCGGCTTCCCCGGGAGACGCAGGGCTCAGCGAGGGCCCCCGCCGCGGCAGGCCAGCCGCACCCCACTCCCACGGGCCCTGCAGACCCCGGGGCTCAGGCCGGCTCAGCCCAGGTGCCGACCGCCCCTGTGTGCCCCGCCCTGGCAGCAGCAGCAGCAGCAGCAGCAGCAGCAGCAGCAGCAGATGCCCCGGAGCAGCCAGGAGGAGAAGGAGGAGAAGGAGAAGGAGCGCGAGGCCGAGAAGGAGGAGGAGAAGCCCGAGCCCGACAACGACAAGGAGGAGCTGAACAAGTAGGGGCGGGCACATTGCGGGGGTGGGGGACGTGGGGGGGAGCACTGGGGAGGCTGGGTGCCAGGTGGGGGCGCTGTGGGGAGGCACTGGGGGGCCGGTCTGCCGCTGCGTGGGGGTCCACCCCGGGGCCCTTGGGGCCGCTCTCCCCAGCCAGGACGTAGCCTTGGGGCGTCTCGGCTCCCCCTCCTGTCCCTGGGGGCTGGGAAGGACAGGGCGCGCAGGTGGACCTGCAGGGGCCTGTGGGCCTCCCTTACTGCCCAGGGCATCGTCAGCCCATCACTGCGGTGTCTGAGTCAGCGCCCGAGGCCACCTGGCCTGGCCAGCCTGCTGGTGGCCAGCAGGGGCTCCGGGAAGACCCCCAGGGCATGGTGGGCCCCGGGAGCGGCCCCTGCGCTCCCCAGAGACCAGCGTATCCCCCGGCTCACAGGGAGAAGGCTGATGACACCTCTGGCGAGGACAATGACGAGAAGGAGGCCGTGGCCTCCAAGGGCCGCAAGACCGCCAACAGCCAGGGCCGGCGCAAAGGCCGCATCACCCGCTCCATGGCCAGCGAGGCCCACGGCGAGGAGACGGTCGCGCCGCAGCACAGCGCCGAGCTCGGTGAGTGGCCGTCTTGCATGGGCAGGTCACGCTCCAGCTCAGCTTCCGTCTGCGGGAAAGCTCGCGCCGAGTGGTCATTGCCCTCCCCGCACACACTCCCCTGCCTCGGGAGGAATCTGGGCTTCAACTGCCTCCTCTTCCAGGGAGGGGTCTCAATTTCCCCTGCACAGTGGGGACTCGGCCCCAAGTGCTCCCCTCCTTCCACAACACTGCGTGGTGCAGTTCCTGAGTTAGACACCAGGGGGCGGCGGCAGCCTCTGTCCTTGGCGCCGTCCTGGCTATTGGCCCACGTGGGGCCTGGGGGCTGAGCTGTGGGGTGGCCAATGCCCCCTTCCTCCCCGCGCCTCCCCTCCCCCTGCTCAGAGCTCCCAGAGACCTGCAGCAGCACCTGCCCCCAGAGTGGGGATCTCTTTCCTCCCGCTGGAGCTGTTCCTTCTAGAACCTTCCTCCATGGTCAGCCGGACTCACGCCTGTGCCCCTGCTCCCGGCGCTGCAGCCGGGCTGCGCTCATGGCCCTGAGCAGCTTGCAGGGTGGGGTTGGGCAGCACAACCCCCTCGAGCTCCGGAGATACGCAGGGAGAGTCGGGGTCCCTTATGTGTTGGGCCCCTGTGGGCGATGGGGTGCCGGGTGCCGGTCACCCTCGGCACTGGGGCCTCCACCGGGTGCCTGGGGGACGCCCCTGCTATGTCGCCGGGCCTGCCGTGCGCCCCTGCGGGGGGCTGAGAGCAGATGCGATGTTCCCGCCTGCAGCCTCCATGGAGCTGAACGAGAGCTCGCGCTGGACCGAGGAGGAGATGGAGACCGCCAAGAAAGGTGAGCGGGCCGGGGCTGCGCCTGCGTCCACATGGACCACAGGGCTGGGCTGTCCCCCAGGACAGCTGCTCTGCAGGGAGATCGAGCTGGTCCCTTTGGCCCGGGGCTGTCACGCAGAGATCGGGTGTGGGGGGCTGCTGCGCCCCTCCCCCCGCCCCCTGTGCCTAGGAAGTGGCCCTTTCCGTCCGTTCCCCGTGGAGGGGGCAGCTCAGAGACCCCCGATGAGCCCCTGGAACCTGGCCTTCTGCAGGGGCCTGTGGGGACTGTTGTCTCCCCAACGTCGCCTTGAGGTCTCACTGTGACTATGTGGGAAGCGGGTTCTCCCCTCCTGTTGGACTCGGACAGGACGGGTCCTTGAGCGTCCCCGAAAGTATCTTCCCCAATGGCTTGGGGCTGGATGCCTGGGGGCCGTGTGTGTGTGTGTGTGTGTGTGTGTGTGTGTGTGTGTGTGTTCCCCATGGCTTGGGACTGGATGCCTGAGGACTCTGTGTGTGTGTGTGTTGTGTGTCTGAGAAGCAGGGCAAAGAGCCCACAGTCTCCACTCCCCTCTGGCCTGTCACCACAGCGACGACCCTTTTCTGGAGCCGTTCCTGCTGCCTGGGGACTGGAGTTGGCGGCTGGCCTTTTGTCCCTCAGAGAAGGACAGTGGGGGGCTGCAGGGGGGACAGGACATGGCGGGGAATGAGTCACCAGCCGCGCCGGCCGCGTGCCCACTGTCTCAAGGTTGGTCCTTGGCGCGGCGGTGAGCTCATCGGGGCCTGCCCACGGATGGAGCCGGCTGCTCGAGGGGCCCTGGCTGCCTGCGTGCTGGGGCCCTGCTCAGTGACATTTGTGCTAATGTGATGAGGGCTGCGCGCTCGGCCACCGTGAATTACAGCAATCTGGACAATTACCGCTCAGGGCGGCAGCCGATGTTCCCGGCGGGGCAGGAGGGGGCGGGAGGCAGGTGCAGCTCGAGCTGCGGGCGCATCTCAGCAGGCGGTGGCGCGGGCAGGGTTCGGGGGCCCAGCCCAGCCTCCACAAGCCCAGGGAGGGACGCAGGAACCGGCTGTGCCTGAGGCAGCCGCTGTGTTCCTGGTGGCAGGCCCGGGGGCAGAGGCCAGACACCAACCTTGGCTGCCGGCCTGGTTGGTTGTTTTGGGGGCCACGCCTTGCGGTGCCCAGGGCTTCCTCTTGGCTCTGTGTGCAGGGCCCACTCCTGCCGGGCTCGGGGACCGAGATTGCTGGCGGTCAAACCCAGCCAGCCGCGTGCAGGCAAGCACCCTCCCTGCTGTACTAGCGCTTCAGCCCTCACCAGCCTTTTTGCCGTGTGGCCTCGGGCAGGTGCACCGACCCCTCTGTGCCTCCTTTCTCCCATCAGAATGTGGAGTTAGGGGGTCCCCACAGTAGTGGTTTCCTAAGGGTGCTGCCACCACTCTGAGATGCGGCAGTTGGGATGTGTCCTTGGCCCGAAGTGGAGCTGGGCTCAGCCTCCTGCCCCGGTCTTAGGCGGGGGGGAAGGGTCAGCTCTCCATCCATCTCTGCTCACGGCACCTGTAACGTCTGAGAGTCGGGTAGGGAGATTGGGGATGCTGTCCATGTCCTTCCCGGGGCAGGCGTGGCAGTGGACAGGAGCCCAGGGAGTGGCCCCAGCTTCCTTGCCTGCCCCTGCCCTGCTTTCTTCCCTCCTCCTCTCGGTATGCCCATGGGCGTTACTGGGGGCTGAGGGCACTGTCCTGTGTCCATACTGTACATGGACACGCTGTCTCACACGTACGTGCTGTCCCATGTCCCACGTCCACGCAGTCCTGTGTGCACATTGTCCTGCATATACTCGCTGTCCCATATACACACACACACACACGCCTCATCCCACATGTACACTGTTTCCACGTGTGCGCCCTGTTCCCTGTATACACCGTGTCCTACATGTCCTTACTCCTCTCCAGAGAGCCTTTGCTTCCCAGGTTCGAGGCCTGCTGGCGCCCTCCCGAGCAGCAGCACCCAACTGGGGACCCCAGGCCGGGGAATGGTCTACCCAGCAGTGGCAGTTCTGTGGCCCTGGGTGTCTGCCCGTCCGCAGCCCCTGGGCACGCAGCTGGCTGACCCCTCGGGGGCACGTCCCGGCACCCTGAGGCGACCCCAGCTCTGGAGTGTGCAGGGGTGCTGGTCAGACTAGGACACTCGCCCACAGAGGTCAGCGGAGCTGCCGAGATGACCCTGCCGGTGGGGCGGGGCGAGGCCAGCACTGGAGGCCTGTGGGCAGCAGTGTGGTCAGTGAGGAGGGGGATGGCTATGGGACAGGACAGGGACCCTCGGTCCCAGCCCGCCCGCCCTCCATCCCTTTCCGTATCCGCCAGTGTGGCTGCCTGGCCTGGACTCGCCCGCAGGGGGACTGGGCATGTGCAGAACCAGCCTCCCAGGAACTGGGCAGCTCCAGGGAGCTGGCACGGGGCCACTCTGGGCAGGAGGGCAGGCCAGGCTGGTTCCCCTGGGAAAGGTCAGCCTGGCCCAGCTTGAGCCTTGCCCCAGCCGAGCGGGAGGCCCGGTTGCTGCTGGAGGCTTCCTCGGGCGGCCGAGCGCCAGCTGTGGAGGGGGCAGGTCCGCCCCGTCCCCAGGCCGGGCTGGGACGCGCCCAGGTACGCACTGCCAGCTGCCTCCTGGCCGCCGAGTCTGGCGGGTGGGGCAGGAGGACCCTGCTCTGGGCCCCGGCCCACAGGCTCCCGCGGGTGGGCGTGAGGGAGAGGTTGCCGGGCTGCGGGCAGGGCCGCCCCGGGCCCGGGTGGGGACCCCGAGGCCCTTCTGGCATGTTCTGAGGAAAAACCGAGTCCTGGTTCTCCAGACCGACCAGGAAGTGGTGGCAGGAGCAAGGTCTGTGGCCCCGCTGCACACAGGCTTACATGTACACACATGTGTATAGTCACACGTACGTGCATGCATACAGGTTCACATACACGTGTTTGCATGGAGAGGCCTACTCATATGTGGGCATGCATCCAGGTCACATGTGCACACGTGTGTGCATGCACGCACGAAACTGCTCCTGCGCATACACAACTATACAGGCAGATACACATGTGCACACAGGTATGCATACCCCCTTGTGTGCACAGATGTACACATACGGGTGCGTGTATACTCGCAAGCACATCAGCACACGGGTGCTCACACAGGCACACCTGTAAGCTCTGCAGAGGGGAACTGAGGTCTGAGGCGCCCGCCTGTCCCTGCAGGAGCCTTTCTCTTTGCTGCAGCTCAGCCAGAGCAGGCCCAGTCCTGTGGCCCCTGGCCTGGCTCGGGGCCGAGCGAGAGGCTGAGTGTCTGGGCAGAGATCCCTATGTCACCAGCGGGTCCTCCTGGGCAGTGGCAGCTGCCCCCGTGTGCCCAGGCCTGTCACAGAAGAGACCAGTCCTCAGAGACCGGGCGGGGGCCGCTCCAGTCCCCAGAGAACCACAGTGGCGCCCGCTGCAGACGGGTGCTGGAGTGGCCTTTCGGGTACCCCCAGGCTTCCCTGGGCTCCCTGGAGGTGGCAGGGACCAGCTGTCAGCGCATCGAGCGGGCTGCCTTTTAGGGGCCCCTCCTGCCGAGTCTCAGACCCCCGGCTTGACTTCCTGTCTCAGTCAGTTTCACTTCCCAGTTCCTGCGCGACGCCGAACGAAACCCCTTCCTGGGAAATTGGAAGTGGGGTCTGGCGTGCTGACCACAGGGCATTGGACAGAGTCTGGTGTCTGGGCGCCCTGAAGGGTGTGGGTGAGTGTGGCCCCGAACGCCAGAGGAGGCGGCCTCAGAAGTGCCAGCCCCCTCGTCCCAGGACCCCTAGGAGGTGACCCCAGGCCCGAGATGGAGGTGTGGGGCATGTTGCCCGTCGCGGGGTCCCCCGCACAGCCCCCCGGTGTGGGCGCAGAGCAGGGAGTGAGGGCGCTGGGAGCCTTGAGCCCCGTGGGCAGCGTCGGGAAGGGCTGCTGCCTTGGATGGCTGAGGTCTGGGGCCGGGTGGTGGGCAGCGGCTGTGTAGGTGCAGGGCAGACGCGGGAGGCCACCCAGACAGGCTGGGGAGCGGGCCGGCGGGTCGGCGACCCCGGTCGGAGCCCTGATACTGACCCGGGCGGCGCTCCGAAGTTCAGCACTGTTAACTTTCAACCCCGTGGGCAGTGGGCTGGCATGACAGGTGCACCGCGGCCAGGGATGCCCTCTGGGGAGGAAGGAAGGGGTGCTGGCCGCTGGCCCAGGGCCCTGCTGGGAACGGGTCACGGTCCTGCCTGTGGGCAGCGGGAGCTGTCAGAATCCCCCAGTGCCCCCTCCCAGAACCCCCCTCCCCGCCGGCCCCACCCGGGCCGCCAAGGACACCCCTGGGGCCTGGCGGCCCAGCCGGCGCAGTGGGGGGCCGGCGGTGGCAGCGGAAGGAGCCGCTTGCTCGCTCGCTCGCGGGCGCTGTTTTCCTGAGCCCTCGTCTGCTCTCACTGCTGCTGACGCCGCGGCTGGAGGGAGGGGAGCAGCCCCGCGGCCCGCCCCTTCCGAACCTGGGCTGCTGCCACCCTCCCGCCCGCTGCCAGCCGCGTCTGGAGGTCACATTCAGTCCTGCGCGCTCGCTCCGGGTCAGGCGGCTCCCGACCCGGACCCTGCCCCGGAGGCTAGGCTCTGTGGGGTCTGCCGGCGGGGGGTGGGAACGGGACAGGGGTGTCTGGGGTCGGGGGGGGGGCCCGGGGGCGCCCGGCCAGCCGTTCGCCCGCCCACAGCGGGTATGTCGGTGCCAGGAGCCGCAGGCTCATGTATTGGTGACACCTGGCACTGGCCCCGTCCTCACAACTGACAGCTCCCCGCGGGGACCGCCCCTGCTGTGAAGGGCACCTCCTCGCGGCTTGCCAGCACAGCCGCGGGGGGGGGGTCGGGGGGGGCCAGCGCCGCCGGTGGACAGCAGCCGCGGAGGCGGGAGGAGGCGGAGGAGGCGCAGCCTGGCCGCCTAGCCGAGCCGTCCCGCCCTCCCGGGAGCAGCCCCCGCCTCCCCCGCTCCCCGCCTGGAGGGACGGAGGATGTGAGCGAGCGAGGCGAGCAGAGCAGACGCCAGAGCCTCGCAGCGGCCTGCGGTGCCCGCCCGCCCCCGCCACCCGCCGCTCCCCGGAGCATCCTCCCGGGCGATGTTTCCGGAAAACTTGGCCGAGGGGGAGACGCAGATGAGAGGATGTGAGTCTCCCCGGGAAGGGACTGGGGGGGACAGGACGGCCGCGTGGGGGGGGACTTGGGGGTCCCCCCCTTGTCCCCGGGGCCCGTCTCTGCCTTTCCGCTTGCTTGTCTCCCACCCCCGCGGAGCAGGGCAGGGCCTGGGTCTGTGTGGGGCCTGTCCCCACCGCCTGTCGGGTTGGGGGGTCCCTGCCAGGGGCTTCTGTGCACTTGGCGCTGCGGGCACCCGGCCGGCGGTGGTGTTTGAAGTGTCTCGGGCTGGCACCCTTGGGATGCAATTCCTGGAACAGGAGCCAGAGCCGGCCGCGTGCCAGCCCAGGGCGCTCACGCAGGACTGGCCGAGCCCACCTCCTGCTCCCTGCTCGGGGAGGGGCCGGCGACCCCACAGCCCCACCCTGCCCTGCCCTCTGCCCCCTCTGTGGGGCTGACGCGCCCCAGGCGCCAGCTGGACGCAGAACCACGGTCCAGTCCACGGGGTGGGGTGTGCGTCCAGGGGCTTGGGCCCCCCCGACTTTCGCTCCCCTGCCCCCCGCCCCCCGGGTTCCGGCCTGCGCAGGCTTTGCCAGGCGCTCTTGGCCCCGCGGAGAAACAAATAAGCGTGCGTCCCCGCCGCCCTCCGGCCGGGAGTGGCAGCTGCTGGGTGCGGGCGGAGGAAAGGTCAGGGGCTAGGTTACACTGGCTCCCACGGCCCGGCCCTCCCGCACGCCTGTCCTTGAGGAACCTCGGCAGCCACGTGGCTGATGCAGGGAGCAGGTGGCCGGGCTGCCCGGGGAGCGGACCCTGGGCCAGCCTGGGCCTCGGGTGTTGGCCTCCCTCTGGAGGTGGGGGGGGCGCGCGATGGGAAGGCTCCTCGCTGGCCTCGTGGCCACCACAGGCCACTCTGTCCACCAAGTTCCATGGCGGGTGTGAGTTGACCCGGCCACGGTGCGTCCGGTACCCACGCCCCCATGCCTGTCCCTCCTGCTCAGGGCTTGGCCGGGGTCAGGGGTGGTGAGTGCCCCCACCCTGTAGTCCCCAGAACCTCGGCCCGGGCACACCCTGGTGTGGGCTGGGGCCTGGGGCCACCATGCGCGCACAGATGTGGCGGGGGGCCGGGGCTCTGGGGGGGGGTTCCACGTCCGGCATCTGGAAGAAGGTGGAGTGCGTGGGGCCGGGGGAGCGCAGCGGGTTGCAGCCCCTAGCACACCTGTTGGGCCCCAAATCTGGCCAGTTTCGTTCCCACGGTGGCTTTGGGCCCCTCCCCCACACCCGGTACCCGCCGTGTCCCCTCCTTCCCTGCGGGTACTTGGACAGCCTGGTCTCTGAGCCCCCCCCCCCGAGGGTGCCCAGGAGTGTGATGGTGACCCCGAGTGACCTCTCCCACCGGGGGAGGAGACCCCCGTCCAGCCTGGTGCCCTCCCCCAGGGCTGTGGCACCATCCCCTCTGACCGCTGGCCTCTGCCTGCACCAGGCCTCCTGGAACACGGCCGCAACTGGTCGGCCATCGCCCGCATGGTGGGCTCCAAGACCGTGTCTCAGTGTAAGAACTTCTACTTCAACTACAAGAAGAGGCAGAACCTCGACGAGATCCTGCAGCAGCACAAACTCAAAATGGTGAGTCTCCGCCACGTTGCCGCCACATGCCCACGGAGTCCCCACTATATCCCTGCCACGTTCCTGCCATGTCCCCAGTGAGTTCTCACCATGTCCCAGCCACGTCCCAGCCACATCCTTGCCGTGTCCCCACTGAGTTCTCACCACGTTCTGGCCACGTCCCTGCCATGTCCCAGCACATCCTGACATACTCCCTCCCCCCCGCCATGCCCCTGACATGTTCCAGAGGTTCCTACGGGAACTGACAGGGTCTGACATGTGCCCCTTGGGCCAGGCACACGAACCCCGAGTGACCTCCGCTTTGACTCCCTGCCTCGGCTGCTGTGTGTTTGCTCGCTCTCCATGTCTCGCTCTTTCCTACGCCACACACACACACACACACACACACACACACACAACTTCCCTCTCTCTCTCCTCCTCCCTCCCTGACTCTCACCTGCTCTCTCCCCTCATCTCTGCTCAGCCAGGACTGGGCGGAAGGACGCCTGCCCCCTCGCTCGCCCAGGCCCCAGCAGGTGCTTGGGGTCCGCCCCCTCCCCGGCTGTCACTGGTTGTAGGTCTCAGTGATGCAGGGGTGCGGAATAAGGGGGGGACCCACTCTTCTCCCCCTACCCGCCTACCCCCATGGCTTCCGTCAGGATAGTGGAGCAGGGTCAGACCACAGTGGGGGCAGTCCTGGGATCCTCCTGACCCCCTGGTTGAGACTGAAGTCCCATCACCCCAGACGCAGACCGGAACTGGAGCGTGGCACTGCCTACCTGCCTGAGCAGCTGGGGGAGCCCTGGGGGCTGAGCCTGGCTCAGCACGGAGCTCACTTCCTGTCCCCCATCACTTGTGTCCCCGGAAGCAGCCATGCCACGCTGCCAGGCTGCAGGCAGCTCTCTGCCGACTCTGCCAGTCCCCAGGGACCCCAAAACTTGAGCATGGGTTGACGGGCCAGAGACCCAGTTTGGTGGACAGCATGGGCTGGGCGGGGCCTGGACTGGGGTCTTGGGCTCAGAGCAGCGTCGCGCCCCTGCTCAGTTCTGAACCGGGGGTCACTTAGGGCCCCACAGGTCCAGTGCAGCGGCGGCTGCCTGTTCTCGGGGCCACGCACGCAGCCGGGAGGGGCCAACTGTCGAGGCACCGGCGGGTCATTGGGCCCGTGCCTGACCCTTCAGGTGCCTGGACGTGGGGCCCAGCCAGGGGCAGCCTGTTTGCCTGTCCTCTGTGAGGGGGTCCTGGGGTCCCTCCCAGGCTCTATGGGTCAGTAGGCTCCCTCATGTGGGCAGCAGCAGGTCCTGGGCAGCAACTGGCCCTGTGGACACTCGGCCCCTGCATGCCCACAAGTGTGGGGAGGCCGGGCCGGGGGTAGGGGTGGGGGACAGCCAGGGAGGGGGTCAGCAGGGCCCGGGAAGGCAGGTGAGGCTGGACGGAGGGGTGCAGACTGAGCCTTGTGAGGCCCAGGGCGGTGCAAGGTGGACTTGTCTCGCCGAGGTGCGGCGTGAAACCGTCCTGACCAGTAAGCGGGCGCAGGAACTGGGGTGGGGGGTGACGTGAGGCTTGGCGTCTGTGTCTTCCGGGGCGCTCCCGCGCCTCCTGCAGCCAAAGGTCGCCCTCGCTCCCCACTAGGCGTTCAGCTCCCTGTGCCCGTCTGCCCGGCCGGCCTGGACGTGCCACATGGGCGGCTCCTGGGCCCTGCCATTGCCTCCCCGGGGGGAGCCGGCACCAAGCGCCCGCCCTCGCCCATGCTGCCCTGGCCTACGGTGGTCGTCACCCGGGGTCAGCCTCAAACAGGACCCTGGGTGTGACTGGGAGTGGGTGTGCCGGGCTGGGGTGTGGGGAGGGGGGAGCAGGGACATTTGGCCTGAGTCCCCCCCCCCCCCACGAGAGCCCAGTCAGCCCTGGGAAGGGGCTCGGACAGACTGAGGCGGGGTGGAGCCGGAGCCGGGGACCCCACATGCCTCCTGCCGCCACCCCCCCCCATGCGTGTTTGAGCGGCAGAACCAGGACCCCAGATTGCTTAGGAAGACGGCGGTACGGGAAGCCATACTTCCCTTCCCTGGGTCCCCGGGTGCCGGGAGCAGACTGGGCAGGCAGGCTCGCTCTTGTGATCAGGGTGGGAAGGGGAACCCCCCCCAGCTGGGGCCTGCCAGCAGCTGATATGCACCCCCACAGCGGATTCCCCGGGCTGCCCGGCCACATCTCCTCTGGCTTTGGGGCTGCGGCCTACCCCCTGGAGTCCCGGTCTCCTTGGTCCCGGCTCGCCCTGACTCTGCTGGAACTCCAGTCCTGAGCCACTGCCCGCCCAGCAGGGAAGCCGTGGTGGGCTGCTGTGTCCCCTGGGCAGGGAGAGGCCAGGTCCAGCCCCCAGGACTGCCGGGTGTGCGGGGAAGCTGGGCGTGGCACAGCCGGCCCCGTCCAGAGCAACTTCTCAGGCATGGAGGAGACCCTGACCGCACCCGCCCTCCCACAGGAGAAGGAGAGGAACGCGCGCAGGAAGAAGAAGAAAACCCCGGGGGGCAGCAACGAGGAGGCCGCCTTCCCGCCGGTGGTGGAGGAGGAGGAGATGGAGGCCTCGGGCGCCAGCGGGAATGAGGAGGAGATGGCCGAGGAGGCCGACGGTGAGCACAGGGCACGGCAGACCCAGGCTGCTGTGCTGGCAGTGCCCGAGCCTCGGGACAGAGTGGGGGGCACAGGGTGGGGTGGGGACCACCGCGGGCAGGGGGGTGAAGGGGGGTGCCAGTGATGGAGGTGCCGGTGCCGGTGGGGGTGACGAGGTGACGGTGCCGGTGTTCGTTTTGCTGGTGGCAGGGACAGTGGGCAGCCTCACCGGTCACGGTGCTCCCTGGTTTGCTGCCCCCTCGGGGACAGGCCTCGAGCCTGGGGGCTGTGAGTGTTGGCTCCTCGAACCCTCCTGGGTCTGCGCTGCCTCCGTCCGGTGACACTCCCCTGGGCTCAGGTTCTTGGTCACTGGCCCGTCTCCCCTCTGGCACGTGGCTGGGCTTCTTTCCTGCCGCCTGTGCTAGACAGTGGGAGTCCCCATCACTGCCGCCAGCTGGTCTGTCTGTGCCATGTGGGGCAGGGCTGGGCACTGCCCCCCACCCCAGGCTGGCCAGCTCCATCCCCGCCACCACTCGCTTCCCTGAGCTTCGCCCAGAACCCCCCACCCTGAGCCCATGGGCCATCGGTCACCCCGTGTGTGTGTGGGCAGCTGTAGACCCCTTTGTCCTGCTGGGGGTCGTCCAGGCTTGTAGCAGGGAGAGGAAGGGCAGCAAGTGTGGGGGTGCCCGGGACCCCTGAGCAGGGGCTGTGTGGCCGAGCTCATCTCAGGGGCGCAGGGGTTGGAGAGGGGTTCCATGTCCAGGGTCCCATGTCCACCAGCCAGCATGGCTGTGCCTCCCGTCCTCCATCGTGGTAACTGGCTGATGCCCCTCCTGGAGGTGTGGGCCAGTCACGGGCCCCTGAGCCGTGGTCGCTGTTGGCCGCAGCCCCGCAGCTGGTGCCATCCCTCACCGTGAGGCTTCTGCAGGGACTCTGCACCACAGGGCTGGGCAGACCCCCAGTGCAGAGGAAGTCAGAGGTCAGGGATGGGAGTGCGGGGGGCGGGCATTCTGTGCCTCAGTTTCCATACCTGCAGAGGAGAGCTGCGGCGATGCTGGGGGTCACTGGGGGTACTCTGCCCTCAGCACTGAGGAGCTAGGCCTGGCTCTGCCCTGTGTGGGACGTGGGCTGAGAGTCAGGTGGGAGCCAGCAGGGCTGAAGGTGCGCAGGTCAGCAGCTGTGGCTCCTGGGGGCTGGGTCCAGGCTCTGTGGGCAGGGGGGATGTGATCTGCCTCCCCCCCGCCTCTGCCCCCTTTGGGTTTGGGGGTCACACCCAGCGATGCTCAGGAATCACTCCTGGTGGTGCTCGGGGTGATGGACCCCAGGCGGCTGCATCCACAGCCAGCGCCCCGCCTGCTGTCCTGGGCTGCCCTGACCCCCTTCTCACCCTTGTGTCTCCTCCAGCCCTGCACGCTGCTGGGAGCGAGGCGACGCGCGGGGAATGCGGTCCAGGTACGAGCTTGCCGCGTGGCCCTGTGGCTCAAGTGCTCGGCTCAGCGGCCGATTGTCCCCAACTCCTCCCTGCTGTGGCGTCACGGCAGAGGGCTGGGCTCAGCTCCCCGTCCTGGTGCCCTGCGCCTCACTGGCCGTTACAGCAGCCCGGGTCCCTGGGAGGCAGCAGCCATCCCCATTTCCAGGCGGGGACACTGAGGCTGGGAGAGCCGAGCCCTGGGCCGCCCCCCACAGTCCCGTGTGTCCTCGCCCTCCCCACAGCCGCCGTTGCCAACAGCTCGGACACCGAGAGCGTCCCCTCCCCCCGCGCAGAGGCCACCAAGGACGCGGGCCAGAACGGGCCCAGGCCCGCAGCTGCCCCCGGCACCCCGGCACCGCCCCCCCAGCCGCCCACCCCGCCACCCGAGGACGCCCCGGCCACCGCCGAACCCACTCCCGCCCTGGACACCGCCGGCCCGCCCACGCCCCCTCCGGCATCCCCTTCGCCCGCCGCACCCCCGTCCCTGGTGCCCAAGGAGGAGGAGGAGGCGGCCCCCGCGGTGCTGGCCCCCGAAGGGGAGCAGGGGCCCCCTGCCAGGCAGGAGCCGGGGCTCGAGCCCGGCGCCACGGAAGAGCCACGGAAAGCAGCCACCGCTGACGCAGCCAAGAGCGACAGCCTGGAGGAGGCGGCCGAGGAGGGGCCTGGCAAGGGCAGTGTGGAGGCCAGCTCAGAGGGCGTGCCCGAGGGGGGCCTGAAGGCAGAGAAGAAGGAGGGCAGCGGGCCTGGGGGCAAAACGCTGGTGGCCAAGGTTTTGGGTGCCCCCCAGGACAGCGACTCCAGTGCCACCTGCAGCGCCGATGAGGTGGACGAGCCTGAAGGCGGGGACAAGAACAGGTGAGACTGGGGGAGTGGGGAGCGGGGCCAGGGGCTGTAGGCTGATACTTGAGGGTCCGCAGGTGGCTGGGAGCTGATGCGGGTGTTGGGGAGGGCGGAGAGCCACTGGCAGCTTAGGCTTACAGAAGTTTCTTCCATGACCTTATGTTCCCGGTGGGACATGCTGGCCAGTCCCCCTTGGCCCAGACCTACACGGCTGCGTCTCTGGCGAGCAGCTCCCCTCTCCGCAGGTGGGTGGGCACGGCGGGCAAAGGCCCTGGGGCAGGCAAGGACCAGTCCAGCAGCCACAAGAGGTCCGAGCCTGTGGCTGGCAGTGGGGCTGGGCAGGCTCCGAGCCGGAAGGTGGGCACCGCGGGCTGTACATGGGAAGCCGTGGCGGGAGGCGGCTCAGGGTGGCAGGGCTGCGGTCCCAGCTCAGGGGCAGCCGTGCTGGCTGGACACATGCGTGTGTCGTACTGCCTCCCGCCTCAAGAGGTCAAGCCGGGACCCGGGTGGGACAAGTTCGAGTGTCCACGGGAACCACCTGGGCGAGTTCCGTTCATTCTAGAAAGCTCCATGTCCCAAGTGGATTCCTTTAGTGCTGCGTTGTCTGCTCCCGTGCTGGGGTCTGGCAGGTGGTAGGGCTGCTATTTGCTCAGGGAAAAGTGCTTGTGACGCTCCCTCCTGCAGCTGTGAGTCCCTGCCCCCTGAGAAGCGGCCTCCCGGCGTCCAGGCTGGAAGGGCCGCCTGCAGTCCCCCTGGGACCCATCCCTGCCCTGGCTACGCTGGCTTCCAGCCATAGTTCCTGCCAGTGTGTCCCACAGTGCTCTGAGGAGCTGCCCTGGGAGCCGGGACACCGGGCTTGTCCCACCCTGGCGGACAAGGACCAGACCAGGCCTCGTCCCTCAGACTGAGGCTGGACATGGGCCAGCCCGCAGCCCTCCCTCTGGCCAGCGCCTACAGCTACACCGGGGCTCAGGGAGACGCAGCAGTCAGGCCCGGGCGAGCCCCTGCCCAGTGGGAGATGTGGGCTGGCCCTAAGGAGGACAGGCCCCTTCCAGTCCCCAGGCCCCTCCTCGTGGGGCATGGATGGGTGGAGCCGTTGGCCAGGGTCTGGCCCCTACCCCAGGAGGAGCCCCGGGGCTCTGTCTCATGCTGCACTGCCCGTGGCCAGCTGGTCCAGCAGAAGCAGAGCCGAAGCACTCGGGGCCCCAGGAGGCTTTGGGAATGGCTGGACGTCCCGACCCAAAGCCCACCCAGCTGCGGGCCACCTGTGGGGGCTTGTGCCCACCAAGCGGGCTCTGGGCCCACGTCCTGCTAGCGCCACGACCAGGCCTCTGGGGCGCAGACGCGTCTCCTCCCGGCTGAGTCACAGGCCACGCCGCCGGCCACGGAGGTGCCGGATTCCCCGGCTGTCAGCGCAGTCGCTGGCTTGTGCAAGCCTTGGGCTCTGTTCCAGAACATTCCCGGCAGCCCACAGGAAACCTGGGCGCGTCTGAGGTCGCTTTTCTGTCTGTGGCATTTCCCCTGCCATGCAGGTGGGCAGTGACCTGTCCACTGCCCAGGGCCCGGGGTACCTCTGCCCTGCCCTTCATCGTTGATCTGCGCTCACCGCATAGCACCCCATCTCGCGGACACCACCCCCCATTCACACAAACACACACGTCCAGCTTTGCACAGTTGGGTGGTTTCCACTCTGGCTCCTGGAGTGGCTGGTGGAACTCGGGGTGCACCTGCGGTGCCTGGCAGGAGCCTGGCGTCTGCACAGTGCCGGGGAGAGCAGCCGCTTTCCCGGCACAGCCACGCGGTCAGGCCTGCCAGCTCTGTCGCGGAGGGCGTGCCACCCTCTGTCCATTGCACCTGGGCCCGGTCCTAGACCCCCCGGACACCCGGGGTCCTGCTCCCTCCCGCCTTGCTGCTCTCAGGGCTCAGCTCAGTTGGGGGGTCATGGGAGCACGTGGCCTGGAGGGCGGCAGGCTCTAAGTGGGGGTCCCTGACGGGAGCAGCGGCAGGTGTGAGGACAGCCAAAACCCATAAGCCCCTCCTTTCCAGGTAGAGGCTCCAGTGTCCATGCCTTGGGACAGGCCCTTGCTGGGCCACATGAGGCCACGTCCGCTGTGCCCGCCCCGTGCCGCCCTCGCCCGTGTGCTCTCAGGGTTCTCAGCCCCACAGGAAGGGGGCACAGGAGGCACCCAGCTCCCAGGGGCCGTGTGTGGAGTAGGCGGTCTCCAGCCCCTCGCTCAGCCCTCTGCTGGCCCCAAAGCTGCTGCCCGAGACGCCGCACCGGGGCCAGGGGTTTGGTCTCAGGCCCTCTGGGCGCTTCTCACCGACCACGTGGGGTGTGGGGCAGGGGCAGGATAGGTACCTGTGTGGGGACCCCAGCCCCTCACCGGTGGCCTGCAGCTGGGGCCGAGCGGGGACAGCGGGGCCCTCCCTCCTGCTCCGGGCGGGGCTGGATTCCTGGACATTGTCCCTTGCCCACGGCCAGAGTCAGGGGAGGCCAGCTGTGACCTGCTCTGTCCCTGTTCCAGGCTGCTGTCCCCGCGGCCCAGCCTCCTTGCCCCGGCCAGCGACAGCAGGGCCAGTGCCTCGCCCCAGAAGCCACTGGACCTGAAGCAGCTGAAGCAGCGGGCGGCCGCCATCCCCCCCATCGTGAGTGTCCGCCCGAGGGTGCCAGGGATGGCGTCTCCGTCTTCCCGGGGGACTGGGCCGGGGGCCGCCGGGCACAGCCAGCTCTGGGACGCCCTGGTCGCGGGCCCCTGGGAGACACTCTGACCCCCACCCTCCACAGGCCCCTAAAACCCAGGAGCCCTCGCGGGAAGATGCGGCCCCAGCCTCGCTGCCCGCCCAGCACCTGCAGCCGGACCCCGACGCTCCCCAGCAGCCCGGTGGCAGCCCTCAGGGCACACGTGGCAGCCCTGCGCCCCTGGCAGACAAGGAGGGTGAGCAGACAGCGCCGGCTGGGGAGGCTGAGGTGGGGCGCATCTGGGGGTCTACATGCGTGCATGCGTGTGCGAGCCGTGTGTCTGTGTGGCGTGTGCTGTGTCTGTATGTGTGTACGTACATGTGTGGTGGGTGCGAATGAACACGTCTGTGTCGTTGTGTCTACGTGGTATTTGCGTGTCTCTGCATTGGTGAGTGTGTGTGTGTGTGTGTGTGTGTGTGTGTGTGTGTGTGTCTGGTGCCTGGCTGGCAGTGCTCTGGGCTGGGCAGGCAGCTCGGACTCTCAGGTGACCCATCGTGGCGTCCGTGTGGGCGTTGCATGGGGCTCTTGCCTGGGCTCCTGGCCCCTCCCTCCCCTTCAGCCAAGACGTCACCTCGCAGCTTTGGGGGCCTCCAGAGCTTGCCCATGGTGCAGGGGTCTGAGCACTTGGCTCCTGGCCTCCCTGTCTTGTGGGTCCTGGGGGCAGTGCTGAAAGGGGCAGGCACAGGCCTGGGGGCGCTGGACCCCGAGTTTGAGCTGCTGCTGCTGGGGAGGTGTTGGGGGTGAAATGGGGTTCCTGGGGTGGAGCCCCTGCAGGCCCTGCCCTGTGGGGTGCTGTCTCGGGCATGTGTGCGCACATGTGGGCGCGTGTGGGCGCGTTCATGCACTTGTGTGTGCATGTTTTCACACAGGTCTGCGTATGTGCGTGTCTTTGTGCACATGCTCCGTGCGTGCGCTCATGCCATGTCGAGGCCGTGTGGCCCTTGGGATCTCTCCCAGGTGGCGGCAGAGGGTGAAGCCACAACTGCTCCAGGCCATCGGGTGCGAGGGGCTTGGAGGCTGTAGGCCCTGGGCCCCTGGTGCCGCACAGCCGTGTTGGCCCTGCTCAGACTGTGGCCAGGGCCACGTGGACTCCTGGCCGCCCGCCCTGCTGGCTCCTCAGGCTCTCCGGGCCTGTGGGGGGGAACAGGTCACAGGTGCCAGGCGGGAAGGGCCTGCCCAGGGTGTCCGCGAAGCGTCCCAGGGAGCCCGGGCTGGGCTCTGCTGCAGGGGCCAAAGCTGGGCGCCAGTGTAGGAGCGGGTTTCTGCCTGCTGAGTCTGACCAGTGGCTGTGGCCAGTGACTGTCCTCAGCTGCCCTCTGGCCCGGAGTGGCACAGGGCGGGGCCCGAGTGATGGCACAGCAGGCAGATGCTGGTCGGGCACACGCCCACCTGGGGTCCACCCCCAGCGTATCCTGTGATTCCCTGAGCATCGCTGGGTGGCCGCCGTGACCTGCCCACTGCCCCCATGGGGCCCCGGCTCTCGGCGTTCTTGGTGCTGTCTCCGTCCCAGGGCCTGCTGCCTGCTGCCACAGGGGCCGGAGTCTGCAGGTCCTTCCCAGGACGCTGCCAGGCGTGTGGACGCCTCGGTCCCCGCCATAACCGGCCGCAGGCCTCCACAAGCCTCGACTTCCCCATCTGGGAGGATGGCTAGCTCAAGAGGCTCAGGTCTGAGCACAACGCAGTGTGGACTCCTGGGGATGCTGATGAACACCCAGGCATGACTGTGCCTCAGTTTCCCCAGTGTGAGGAGGGTGCATGTGCTCCAGTCCGCTGGGTAGCCAAGCTGGGGGACCCCCCAGCTCAGAGACTAGTTCTGCTTCCCGCCTCATCTGTCCTCACTGGCCAGCGAGGGCAGCGGGTCCTGGGAAGGACTGGTGGTGCCCATAGCTCTGCGGCCAGAGTGGCCTGGTGGCCAGCAGAATGGCCAGTGTGTGAGAGCTGGTGGGTTTCACGCCACCTTGCGCTGCCCAGCCCTGGGGCTCAGCCGGGCGCTGGCTGGCCGTGTTGGGGGTGTGGGGGTGAGCCCTGTCGCCCCGCACTGACCCGCCTCCCCTGCAGAGAAGCCCGTGTTCCTGGCGGCCGAGGGCCAGAAGCTGCCCACTGAGCCCCTGTGCTGGGCCTCGGGCCTGGCCTTCCCCGTGCCCCCTCGAGAGGTGATCAAGGTGTCCCCGCACGCCCCCGACCCTGCGGCCTTCTCCTGTGCCCCTCCCGGTGAGTAGCGTCCAGGGGTGGACGAAAAGGACATTCAGGGCCAGCTGAGTGCGGGGACAGTGGGCAGGAGGATGGCCTCAGGAAGGGCTGGTCCTGCCTGGCCCACTGGTGGCCACAGCTGAGGGCGTGTCAGGGGGAGGGGCTGGGGTGGGGGCCGAGGTGCCTATGGCCTCCCTGGGGGCTCCTGGCCAGGGCCACTGGTGACACATGTGCTCTGCAGGCCCTCCACTGCCCCTGGGCCTACAGGACAGCGCCCGGCCAGTGCTGCCGCGGCCGCCCACCATCTCCAACCCACCGCCCCTCATCTCCTCCACCAAGCACCCCGGTGTCCTCGAGAGACCCCTGGGCTTCATCCAGGTGAGGGGGCTGCGGCTTGGGGTGTCGGGACCAGATCCTGCTGGTCACCTCCTGAGGGGGTATGTGGGGGGGTGCGGTCACAGCATTGCACTTAGCTGGCCCCTGCCTCAGTTTCCCCCTCTGGGGCAGGCAGTCGGACACGTGGTGAGCCCCCGTCTGTGGACACGGGCGCCCACCCCAGGCTGTTTCTCTGCGAGGGGCGCTCAAGGTGGGACCCCCTGCGTGAACCTCGGGAAGGGGCGTCAGGGCCCGCGTGACCCCCCTATCTCCACAGTCGGGGCCGATGCAGCTCCACGTGCCGTACTCGGAGCACGCCAAGGCCCCTGTGGGCCCCACTGCCATCGGGCTGCCCCTGGCCATGGACCCCAAGAAGCTGGGTGAGTGTCCAGCCCCATGGGGCAGGGGGTTTGGTGCCGGGGTGGGTGGCTCCTTCTGTGGGGGGCTCAACGTTCTGCCCACACCCAGTGCCATTCAGCGGAGTGAAGCAGGAACAGCTGTCCCCCCGTGGCCAGGCCGGACCCCCGGAGAGCCTGGGGGTGCCCACGGCCCAGGAGACGTCCGTGCTGCGAGGTGAGGGTGTGGCGGGCACGGCAGGGGCAGGGGCGCCCTCTGCACGGGCATGGGGGCGGGCAGGGGCTGCAGCCCTCAGTTGGGTGCCGGCCTCTTCCAGGGGCCTCCCTGGGCGCGGCGTCGGGAGGCAGCATCACCAAAGGGACGCCCAGCACACGGCTGCCGGCCGAGAGCCCCGTCACCTACCGCGGCTCCATCACACACGTACGTGGAGGGGGGGACACAGGGTGAGGGGGGCGGGGGCGGCACCTCTGGGCTCTGGGCGGGGCCCTGCGCAGGGCGCCCAGGTCTCAGGGTGCTCCCGTCTCCCCAGGGCACCCCTGCAGACGTGCTGTACAAGGGGACCATCACCAGGATCCTGGGCGAGGACAGCCCCGGCCGCCTGGACCGCAGCAGGGACGACGGGCTGCCCAAGGGCCACGTCATCTACGAGGGCAAGAAGGGCCACGTGCTGTCCTACGAGGGTGAGGCCGGGGGCATTGCGCTGGAGGGAGCAAGGGGGACTGGGTGGTTCCTGGTGGGCTGTGGGCACACACCCAAGTCCGCCGGCAGCTGTTTTCTCTCCCTGAATGCGAGTGGGTGGGGGACCGGGACCCCCACTCATGATCCCCTGTAGGCCTTTTGGTTTCTCGTTGATGCCGGGCCGGGCAGAGCAGGGGGGCACGGGAAGCGGGGGCCGCCCCCGGGATGGGAGACCACACGGAGCACACGGTGCACACAGAACGCACCAGGTTGCGTGTGTGTGATGGGCACGCCTGTTGTGTGCATGGTTGCACACACATCTTCCATTGAACACACGTTGCTCTTGGCAGCCAAGCACGTGTCTGCTGATGCACGCACACTCGCAGGCCCGCCCGCCCCTACCCAAATCAGCCCTAGCCTGTTCTCACTCGCGTGTGTGCGACACCCACCCCCGTGGGCACACGTGTGCAGGGACTCACTGCCCAGACTGGCCGTCACCGGCGCGGTGTGTGTTCCAGGTGGGATGTCTGTATCCCAGTGCCCCAAGGAGGACGGCAGGAGCAGCTCGGGGCCCCCCCACGAGACGGCCGCCCCCAAGCGCACGTATGACATGATGGAGGGTCGCGTGAGCCGGGCGGTGTCCTCGGCCAGCATAGAAGGTAAATGCTTCTGCCCCCGGGGGACCGGTGCTTGGGGCCAGGGGCGGCCCAGGAAAGGGATGGAAACACCAGGTTGCTCCGGGGACACTGTCCCGGGAGGGGCTCCAGGCTCTGGCTCCTGACACAGCCCGTGTCCCCACCCAGGTCTTATGGGCCGCGCCATCCCGCCCGAGCGGCACAGCCCTCACCACCTCAAAGAGCAGCACCACATTCGCGGCTCCATCACGCAAGGTACCGCCTGCCTCCCGCACCCCTGCCCTGGTGTCTGGGTCGGGGGCCTGAGTTGAGGGGCTGTCAGTGCCGAGGGGGTGGTGAGGGCGAGCATCTGTGTCCTTCCTCCCGTCCCTTCATCAGGGATCCCACGGTCCTACGTAGAGGCCCAGGAGGACTATCTGCGGCGGGAGCCCAAGCTCCTGAAACGCGAGGGCACCCCGCCGCCACCCCCGGCACCCCGGGACCTGGCTGAGGCCTACAAGACACGACCCCTGGAGGCCCTGGGGCCCCTGAAGCTGAAGCCGGCCCACGAGGGCCTGGTGGCTACCGTCAAGGAGGCCGGACGCTCCATCCACGAGATCCCGCGTGAGGAGCTGCGCCGCACGCCCGAGCTCCCTCTGGCCCCGCGTCCCCTCAAGGAGGGCTCCATCACCCAGGTAGGGGCGCTGAGGCCCCTGGCTTTTGTGCGGGTGGGAGCACCACAGGCTCTCCCGGTGCCTTCACCCCTCCCGGTCTCACACCTGTTGTGGAGACTGAGGCCCTGCAAGATGGAGCCATTGAATGCCAAGGCGGGATAGAAGCATCAGTAATCATGACTTCATTGGCAAAACCCGTCTCATGGGCTGGCACTTATGCTGTGCTGGGCACGACATGCCTCGCTGGCTCTCCTGCCCGACCCAGTCCCTGGGAAACACTGGGTTCAGAGAGGGCAGGTGACTTGGCCAGAGTCACACAGCACAGCAGCCTCCAGCCCAGATGGCCTCCCCGTCCCCATCAGCGGCTCGGTGGGTGGGGTCAGCTCTTGCGGTGAGGAGCTGACCCGGCAGCGTATGTGGCCGGGTGCCCTGTGACAGAGGACAGAGCTGGCTTGGGGACCCTGGAGCAGGCAGTGCCGGCTGTGCTGCCCTCAGCCCTGGGCAGCTCTGGCCCTGCCCCCAGCACGGCAGATGTAGCCGGACTGAGTCCAGCAGTCCCCAGAAGGCTGGCGTGTCCCCTTCTTGCTGGGAGCCAGACATTCCTGAGTGGACTCAGGCCCCATGTCTGCCTAAACAGACACGGCCTGCCAGGCCTGGCGCGCTGTGACCCATTTCCTCCAGCTGCTGTTCCCGGCCGGGGCTGGAGGGGGTTTGCTGTGGCGTGGGCAGGGCTTAGGCAGGCCACGGGTGGACGTTGGGCCTTCGGGACCCCCAGCTGCAGGGAGGAGGGGCCTCTGGCGTTGGGGCAGGGAGAACTCAGTGCCCCTGTCCCCAGGGCACCCCGCTCAAGTACGACAGTGGCTCCAAGAAGCACGACGTGCGCTCCATCATCGGCAGCCCGGGCCGCACATTCCCGCCCGTGCACCCCCTGGACGTGATGGCCGACGCGCGGGCACTGGAGCGCGCCTGCTACGAGGAGAGCCTCAAGGGCCGACCCGGGACCGTGGGTAGCACCGGGGGCTCCATCACGCGGGGTGCGCCCGTCATCGTGCCCGAACTGGGCAAGCCACGCCAGAGCCCCCTGGCCTACGAGGACCACGGGGCACCCTTCACGGCCCACCTACCCAGAGGCTCGCCGGTGACCACCCGCGAGCCCACCCCACGCCTGCAGGAGGGTGCGTAGGACTGGCTGTCGGTGGGCGGGGCCAGGGCCGGGCAGGATCCAATGGGCAGTGTGGGCGGGGCCAGGGTCCAATAGGTGGTGTGGTTGGGTGGGGTCAGGGAGGGAGGTGGGCGGGGAAGAACCCAGTGGGTGGGTATGTCTGGGCGGGGCAGGGCATGTTACGTGTGGGCGGGGCTAGGGTCCAATATGGGGCGTGGTCTGTGGGCGGGGCTAGGAGGGGCGGCTCCAGTCATTTTGGCTTTTGCTTGAATCTTCACAGTCTCGGTCCCTGCTCCGAGGAACTGGTAGCTTCCCGCCAGCTGTCAGCCCTGGGTCAGCCCCAGCTCTTAGGGTCTTGGCGGGTCACATGGGGCTCCCTAAAAGTCTGGGTGGGCTCATGGACTGAGAGAACAAGGAAGCGGGAGGGGAAGCCAGGCAGGCAGCGTCCAAAGCGGGGATGAGGGGTGATGAGTGCAGAGGCAAGCTGGCTTGGAGGGCTGTGACGCAGGGGACGCCGTTGCCCCACAGGCAGCCTCTCGTCCAGCAAGGCGCCCCAGGACCGCAAGCTGACGTCGACCCCCCGAGAGATCGCCAAGTCCCCGCACAGCACTGTCCCTGAGCACCACCCGCACCCCATCTCGCCCTACGAGCACCTGCTCCGGGGCGTGGACCTGTACCGCGGCCACATCCCGCTGGCCTTCGACCCCACGTCCATTCCCCGCGGAATCTCCTTGGATGCCGGTGATTGTTTCTGGCAGCTTCGGGCATGGGGGTTGTCTCCCGCCAGATGGGAGACCCGACAGTGGGCTGTAGGGCTCTGTGGAGTGTCAGGGGCTCAGAGAGCTCCTTGCAGACCTACCAGTTCCGTGAAAGCCATAGTGCCACCCAGGCCGTGTGGCCTTTACGCGTCTGTGCCCAGCATAAGGGGAGCCTGATCCAAAGAAGTGTCCCAAGAGTCACCCCAGGGCCGGCGCCATAGCGTAGCCGGGAGGGTGTTACCCTGGCCGGCGGCTGACCCAGGTTCGGTCCCCAGCACCACCCCGAGCCCCACCAGGAGCAAGTCCCGAGCACGCCCGGTGTGGGGAACCGTGCCTTCCCCCAGCCCGGGTTCGCGGTGGGCGGCGGCCTGACCTGCTCCTCCCCAGCAGCCGCTGCTTATTACCTGCCCCGGCACCTGGCTCCCAACCCCACCTACTCGCACCTGTACCCGCCGTACCTCATCCGGGGCTACCCTGACACGGCGGCGCTGGAGAACCGGCAGACGATCATCAACGACTACATCACCTCGCAGCAGATGCACCATAATGCGGCCGCTGCCATGGCCCAGCGTGCCGACATGCTGCGGGGCCTGGCGCCCCGGGAGTCCTCCTTGGCCCTCAACTACGCCACCGGCCCCCGAGGTGGGTGGACAGGCCGCGACCCTCCCGTCGCCGCGGGGGGAGTGTGCTGGGGCCCCGTGCACGCAGGGACACGCGGCGTGTGTCCGTCTGTCTGTGTGCCTTGGCTCGCGTGGGCCCCTGGGTTGGACGTGGACAGGGCCTGAGTTGCCGAGTCTGTGGCTGAGCGTCCCCCGATCCCCCCCTGAGAGCCCGGCCTCTCCCCGCAGGCATCATCGACCTGTCCCAAGTGCCACACCTGCCCGTGCTGGTGCCCCCAACGCCAGGTGCGCCAGCCACGGCCATGGACCGCCTCGCCTACCTGCCCACCGCGCCCCAGCATTTCAGCAGCCGCCTCAGCAGCTCCCCACTCTCGCCAGGTAACCACCCACCCCCCTGGGCGAGGACGCTGCCTCTGGGCACAGGAGGGCTGGGCGTCCTCAGGCAGATGTCTTGCTCTCTCTGTTCCGTGCCAGAGGACAGGTGGAGGCTCCTGCTGGCCCCTGGGGCTGAGTCGCTCACCCCTTGGCTTCCAGGAGGCCCCACCCACTTGGCAAAGCCGACTGCCACCGCATCCTCCGAGAGGGAGCGCGAGCGGGAGCGGGAGCGGTCAGTCCTCACTTCCACCACCACGGTGGAGCATGCGCCCATCTGGAGACCTGGTAAGGTCCCCCGCCCGCCCCGCCCTGCTGGTGCCCACGGCCACTCGGGCGCCCTGACACGGCCCGGGTCCCAGGTACGGAGCAGAGCAGCGGCAGCCGGCCCGCCTCCCACGCCCACCAGCACTCGCCCATCTCTCCACGGACCCAGGACGCCGTGCAGCAGAGGCCCAGCGTCCTGCACAACACGGGCATGAAGGGCGTCGTCACCTCCGTGGAGCCCAGCACGCCCACGGTCCTGAGGTGGGCCAGGTTGGCACAGGGGAGGGGACGGGGCGGGGCGGGAAGGGGCCAAATGGTCTGAGGCGAGACAGGGGTGCGGGGGCAGGGTGGGGAGACACAGCCAGGGGACTGGGCCGGGGTGGGGGCCAGGCTGGAGGTGTCGGAGACAGCGCAGTGTGGGCAGACCGGAAGGCCATGGGGTCTAGGACAGAGGACAGATGGGACCAAGGGGACGTAGAGAGGATAGGACACAGAGAGGTGCGTTAACACGGAACGGATTCCCCCCCTCCCCCGCCCCCTCGGGTCCGGGGCTGGAGGGAGCAGGTGGTGTCTGCCCACCCCGGCAGGTCCCAGGCCTCTCCCAGGTGCTGGTGAGTGGGAACAGCCTGACGGGAAGGCCCAGTCTCTGCCCACCCCACCCCCTGGTCTGTTTGCAGGCAGCTGCACGTGCCCACTGGCCCGGGTTCCACACGGCTGGGCAGCTCCTAACTCTGTGCATGTGGTGTATGTGTGTGTGTTTGTGTGTGTGTGCCCACTGTCCAGCCTCTCAGCTCAGGGCCTGTCTGTGAGCACCGGGGCCCCCCAGTGGCCGGCTGGGAACACTGTCCACCCCCTAGAGTTCAGCTGGCCTCCAGGGCACTTCCCAGGTATGAGAGCGGCTCGGTGACCAGCCCTCCCCCCTGTCCCCACAGGTCCACCGCCACCTCCTCGCCCGTGCGCCCCGCTGCCACATTCCCGCCTGCCGCCCACTGCCCGCTGGGCAGCGCCCTGGACGGGGTCTACCCCCCGCTCACGGAGCCCGTCCTGCTGGCCAAGGAGGCGCCGCGGGGGGCCCGGCCCGAGCGGGCCCGAGCGGACCCCGGCCACGCCTTCCTCAGCAAAGCCCCCGCACGCCCAGGGCTGGAGCCCGCCTCGCCCCCCGGCAAGGGCCCCGAGCCGCGGCCCCCCGCGCCCCCCGCCGCCGCACGCACCCCCGCCAAGAGCCTCGCGCCGCACCTCGCCAGCCCGGAGCCCCCAGCGCCGCCTGCCTCGGCCGCAGACCCGCACCGGGAAAAGACTCAAAGTAAACCCTTTTCCATCCAGGAACTGGAGCTCCGCTCTCTGGGTAAGACCACCCTGACGGCGGCCACCTTCATAGACGCAATAATCATGCGTCAAATCGCGCACGATAAGGGGCCGCGAGAAGGAGGCCCGGCCGCCGGCTCCCCGCGCGACGGTAAGCCCGGCCGCCGCCCTCCCGTCTGTGGCCCAAAGATATTTTCAGATCTCTGCTTTTGATTTCCGCCCCATCGTTTTCGTTGGTTCTGGTCTTTGTTTCGACACCCACCTCGTCGGTCACACGCTCTGGGCCCCGGCTGCAGCCCCTCGGGCCGCTCATCCCCACATCGTTTTCGTAGTTTTTCTTTTTTTTTTGCCTTTTTTTTTTTTTTTGGATTTCACTTTTTTTTTTCTTTTAAATCCCTTTAATGGATGGATTTGTGACTTTGGCTTCAACCACGCCTTCATCTTTCCCTGTCACCCCGGGTCGGAGCGGGACCTCGGCCTGGTGGGGCTCTGGGGTTGGATGGGGGTGGGCAGATCCCGCCCACAGTGAGTCAGGGGGCTGGGGCCTGGGGGAGCAGCCCTGAGCCCCTCACTGCCCAGTAGCTCCAGAAAAACGGGCGTCCTGTCCACTTCCTGTCTGGTTCCTGCTCCCCTGCTGGGCTGTCAGGCTCGGACCCCCAGGGACAGCACCCCGCCCTGAGTCACCTCACCACTTCCTCCACTGCGGCCGCAAAGCCAGAGGGTCTGCACCCACCCGGCTGTCTCCTTCCCTCCCCTCCCCCTTCCCTCTCCCCTCCCTGTCAGCCCCTCTTTCTCCCTGCCCTGCCCACAGCCCCCTCTGCCTGGGCTGACCCGCAGCCCCTGCCCGGCCCTCGCGGCTCCATCGGCCCAGGCTCGGGTCCCGCCCAGGAGGCCCTGGGGGGCAGGAAGGGTGGCCCGGCCCAGCCCCGCCCCGCGCTGACCCCGCTGCCCGCTCCAGGCTACCACGGTGGCGGTGCCGGCAGCTACAGCCCCGACGGGGTGGAGCCTGTGAGCCCCGTGAGCTCCCCCCACGACAAGGGGCTCCCCAAGCACCTGGAGGAGCTGGACAAGAGCCACCTGCCGGGCGAGCTGCGGCACAAGCAGTCAGGTGGGCGCCGGGGGCTGGGGGGGCCAGGGTAGGGCCCAGGGGGAGCTGTGCTCACCCTCCTGCCACCCGCCCGCCCGCAGGCCCCGGGAAGGTCAGCGCTGAGGCCACCCACCTCCCGCACCTGCGGCCGCTGCCAGAGAGCCAGGCTGCCGGCTCCCTGCTGCCACCCACGCCCGGGGCCAAGGGCCACCAGCGGGTCGTCACTCTGGCACAGCACATCAGTGTAACTACCCGCCCCAGCCGGGTGGGCGGAGCCCCAAGTCCTGGGGGATGGGGGACCCAGTCTGGCCTCGTGGCTTCCCGGCCCCCCGCAAACACAATAGCTGCGGGGCGGCGGGCATGGAGGGGCTGCCCGCTGAACGCTGCCTGCCCGCAGGAGGTGATCACGCAGGACTACACACGCCACCACCCCCAGCAGCTCAGTGCGCCCCTGCCCGCCCCCCTCTACTCCTTCCCCGGAGCCAGCTGCCCCGTCCTGGACCTCCGCCGCCCACCCAGTGACCTCTATCTCCCACCCCCCGAGCACGGCGCCCCTGCTCGCGGCTCCCCCCACAGCGAAGGGGGCAAGAGGTGGGTGCAGATCTGCAGGGGCGGGGTGGCCTCGGGGCACGGGGGACAGCCCCTGACTCCCGCTTCCTCCACCCAGGTCCCCAGAGCCCAGCAAGACGTCCGCCCTGGGCACTGGTGAGGACGCCATGGAGCCCGTGTCCCCCCCGGAGGGCCTGGCTGAGCCCGGGCACCCCCGTAGCGCCGTGTACCCACTGCTGTACCGAGATGGGGAGCAGGCCGAGCCCAGGTGGGCAGCACTGGGGGCCCCTGAGGGGGTGGGCCCTGCCCCAGGATGGGGATACCTGGAGCAGGCCACAGAACAACAGCTGGGAAGGCCACCAGACAGACAGATGGCGGCCAGCATTGTGGGGGCACGGGGCACCCCGTCCGGGCCGGCCTGGGCCTGCGTCTGACTTAGGATCTCTGGCCTCTCCCAGGATGGGCTCCAAGTCCCCGGGCAGCAGCGGCCAGCCGCCCGCCTTCTTCAGCAAGCTGACCGAGAGCAATTCGGCCATGGTGAAGTCCAAGAAGCAGGAGATCAACAAGAAGCTGAGCACCCACAACCGCAATGAGCCCGAGTATAGTGAGTGAGGCCTTCCCCGCTGGGACCCAGCAGCTCCCAGGAGGCTGGGCGGGGGCCAGTCTGGCCCCGCGGGTCTCACTGTCTCGTTTCTGCAGATATCGGCCAGCCAGGCACCGAGATCTTCAACATGCCTGCCATCACCGGCACAGGTAGCACCGCCACCCAGGGCGCAGGGGACAGAGGGCGCTGGAGGGCATGAGGGCCAGGCCTTGGGCAGAGCTGGGAGGGCAGAGGAGAGCTCCGACTGCTGGGACAGAAGCTCCCCCAGAAGCGCCTACCCAGGGCTGAACCTGTCCCCTGAGTCTTGGCCCCGTGCTCTGCACTGGGCCCCAGACAGTGGACAGGAGAGCTTCGTGGAAGCAAGATGCTAGAAGCCAGAGTTTCCACAGGGTTCCAAGCCATAACAGTAGCAGGGCCAGCCCTTGCCCTACACGTGGCCAACCTGGGTTCTACCCCAGCACCCGGTATGGTCCCCTAAGCACAGGGCCAGGAGTGAGACCCGAGCACCACTGCGGGTGGCCCAAGAAAACAAAATGACACCAAAGGAGGCCCACGTGGCACAACACCCGCGCAGTCCTGATTTTTTTCAAGTGGCCGTCAGAGCCGGTTTATCCCAGAGCAGCCCCCAGTCCAGTCTGAAGCTCCGCCACACCCTGGGCCCCCCACCGTGCTGTGCTCTGGGTGGCAGGGCTGAGGGGGACTGGTCCACGAGGCATCACAAGGCGGCAGAGCGTCTGCCAGGCCCCCTGTGGACTGTTCTTGGCGAGCGGCCCCAGTGGGCTGCGAGGGCGGCGGCAGAGGGAGCGCGGCTGGGCCAGGGCCGCGGCGAGGCGGGCCGGGCTGGCGGCTTGGGCGGCTGGACAGCCCCCTGCAGCAGCACTGCACCCCTCAGCCGGTGGGGCCGGGGCAGGGCCTGACCACGCGGGGGGAGAAGGGGGAGCCCCCGGCGCTGCCCCGCCCCGCACGCACCGTAACTGCATGGCTGCCGCCCCCTTCCCTCCGCTCCTTTCTCCTGTGGCTTCCGGTGGGGAGGGCTGAGGGTCCCCGGCAGCCCCCGGGGCCACAGTGCACGCCGCCGTGGCCAGCCCCTCCCGCCTCCGCCGGTTTGTCCAGCCTCCCTTCCAGAGGCCCCCGCAGAGCCCTGGGGGCCGAGCCCGTGCATGCCCGGAGGCGAGGGGTGGGCGGCGAGGGGCCCGCCGCTCCGCCCGATGCTCACCGTGTCTCTCTCTCCCCACCCGCCGCCCCGGCCCGCCCGGGTGTCTCTCCCCCAGGCCTTATGACCTGCCGGAGCCAGGCGGTGCAGGAGCACGCCAGCACCAACATGGGGCTGGAGGCCATAATTAGAAAGGCGCTCATGGGTAAATATGACCACTGGGAGGAGCACCCGCTCGGCGCCAATGCTTTTAACCCTCTGAGCGGCAGTGCCGGCCTGCCCGCTGCTATGCCCGTAACCGCTGCCGACGGACGGAGCGACCACGCGCGCACCTCGCCAGGTCTGCGGCCGCCGCCCCGCCCCGCGTCACTAACCCGCGCCCCGCCCCGCGTCACTGACCCGCGCCCCGCCCCGCGTCACTAGCCCGCGCCCGCCCCCGCGCCACTAACCCGCGCCCCGCCCCCCGCGTCACTAACCCGCGCCGACGCCCGGGCCCCGCCCCCTGCGTCGCTAACTCACGCCCCGCCCCCCGCGTCACTAACCCGCGCCCCGCCCCGCCCCGCCCCGGCCGCTGCCGAGATTGTATCTGGCCTGTGCGCGCCCCCGCCTGGCCCCGGGGCCGTCTCGGCCCCGGCCCCGGGCCCCACCCCCACACTAGGCTCCCGGGGAGCTGCCGCTGGTCTAAAACGCCCCCGGCCCGCCCCTTCCCGCGCCGCCTCGGGGCCCGCGTGTCCCGGCGAGGAGGGTCTCGGCGGACCCCGCCAGCGCCCGCCTGCGCAGGGGTCCCGCGGCAGGGCCAGAGCTGAGCCGGGCGCGACCCCCACCCGCCCGCCGAAGGGCCCCTGGGGTCCGAGGTCCAACGCCCCTTCCTGTGCCCGCAGGTGGCGGCGCGAAGGCCAAAGTGTCGGGGCGGCCCAGCAGCCGCAAGGCCAAGTCCCCCGCCCCGGGCCTGGCGTCGGGGGAGCGGCCGCCGTCCGTGTCCTCCGTGCACTCGGAGGGGGACTGCAACCGCCGGACCCCGCTCACCAACCGCGTGTGGGAGGACCGGCCCTCGTCGGCAGGTGGGCGGGGAGCGGGCTGGCCCCGGCCTGACCACAGAGGGTGGAGGGTTCGCGCGCGGGGCAGAGCGGGGCGTTGGGAGCCGGTGCCCGGCCCGGGTCGGACCCACGGGGGCCGCGACGGTGGCAGGACGCGCAGCCGCGCCCGGCGGCACCTGCCCCGTGGGCTGGCAGGGGCGGAGCGGGGCCTGGCCGGGACCCCCCCTCACTCGCCCTGTCTGCCTTCCCGCAGGCTCCACGCCGTTCCCCTACAACCCACTGATCATGCGGCTGCAGGCGGGCGCCATGGCCTCGCCGCCGCCACCCGGCCTCCCCGCGGGCAGCGGGCCCCTGGCCGGCCCCCACCACGGCTGGGAGGAGGAGCCCAAGCCGCTGCTGTGCTCCCAGTACGAGACGCTCTCCGACAGCGAGTGACCGGCCGCGCGGCCTGGAGGAACCGGAGGCCGCGACTCCCCGCCGAGGAAGGAGCCCTGAGTCTGCCTGCGAGCCGCCGCCGCCGCCCGCCCCGTCCAGAGCCGGCCTCCTTGCCTGTCTAAAGCCTTAACTACGATTCCCGCCCCGGGCTGGCCCTGTGCAGTGACCTTACTCAGGGGATGTTTACCTGGTGCTCGGGAGGGGGGGGGCCGCGGAGGGGGCGCGGCGGGCAGGGGTGGCCACATGCCCGCGGCCGGGGCAGCCAGGGACCCAAAGCCGGATGACCACGCACCTCCCACGCCACTGCCTCCCCCTAATGCATTTGGAACCAAAGTCTAAACTGAGCTCGCAGCCCCCCCACCCCGTTCCCTTTGTCCACCCCCATCCTGCTTAGCGCTCTGGACAGTCGGACGCAGGCCTGTCCAGCCCCCAGCGCGCTCAGTGCCCAGACTGCCCTGGCGCGTGGCGCTGGGGGTGGCGGCAGTGTGGATGGTGTATTGGTTTACAGGGTCTATTTTTGGTACCTTCGATGAATGGATTCAGATGTTTTACGCCAGAAGGACTTACCCAGCGTCACTGCGGCTCTGCTTTCCGTCTGCTTAGCATACAGCGGTGTGCGCGGGCTGCAGGTGGTGACCCCAGAACCCAAGGGGGCCGGGGTGCCCTGCCGCCTGCCTCCCTCCCCGGGCAGAATGAACTTGATGGGATCCTGTGACCGCCTTGCGCTCGCAGGCGGCGTTCTCATTTACACACATTCTTCTCATTAAAAGCGAATATACTCAAGCCACTGGCGCTGTGGCCTCTCTGCTCCATGGGGCGCCAGGCAGGGGCGGGGAGGGGGTGGGCAGCAGCCCCAGGCCTGGAGCACCTGCCTCGCTCTCCCCTGCGCGCTCTGCAGGAGACCCGTTGCTTCCTGTGAGAGTGGAACCACCAGGGAAGAGCTGGGGCGGGGTCCCACGCATGCCTGAGTCCCCGCGGGGAGTCTCTCCTGTCAGCCTGACAGCCTCCTGCGGAATCAACCCCTCACTGCTGGTCTTCAGGGGGGCAGAGGTGCTGGTGCGCTGAGCTCAGCTCACTGAGGCCAAGAATTTCCTCTACCTGCACCTCCCGCAAAGCAGACCACGACATGGCCAGTGGGTCTGGTTCCCACAGCCTGTGCCCCAGAGGGGGCGTGCCCTGTACCTCCTATTGTGTGAGCTTGCATCCCCCCCCCCCCAGCTCAGTGGCAGAGCCCCCTGCTGTGAGGCAAGACCCCCTGTGGTGGGGGGGGGGGGGGAGGAGAGGGGCGGCGGGGGGCTGTGCCCAGCACAGCTGCTGCTTCCAGGGGCCTGTGAGATCAGAGGCATGTGGAGCTGGGCTCTGAGCAGAAAAGTGAACCCCCAGAACCTGAAAAGGGGGTTCTCTGCCACCAACCAAGTCCTGCTGGGGCCAGGAGGGGACTCGGCACCCTCTGCAGTACTGGAACTGGCAGACAGGTGGCAGTGCTGGGCCAGCACCCGCTACTGTCCCGGCAGGCTGCAAATCCAAATAGCCAGGTCACACTGGCCACGGGGAGTGGGCACCTGGCCATGTGCGACTCAGGGCAGAGGCCTGAGGGTGGGGATGGCTGAGTGCCCACCCCATCTCCGCAGCTGGGCAGGCACGCTCTTTTCTAGGGCCAGGGGCACCTCTGGGATCTGCAGAGGCCCATCTAGGTCCCCGCTGCCGGCCAGTGCCCCCAGAGCCAGCCTCTCCTGCACCCTCACTTGGTCTCAGGGCTCTGTCCGGTCTTTGATGAGGCCCCTGCTGTTGTCCAGGGCCTGGCTCCCTGGAAAACTCCTACACGTGCTCCAAAACCCAACCAGCCGGGCATTGCCTTCTCCAGCCCCTGCTGTCCCGGCCATCCTGCCCCCACCTCTAGCCAAACCTGACGGGCTCTGAACCTGCTCCTACTGCTGGCTCCGAAACCGCAGCCCCTCGAAAGCGTGGACAGCCGGGAAGGGTTTTGTGATGTGATGGTTGGTGGCAGGGAGCCCCCCTCCCCCCCAGGGCCTCGGCTGAGGCAGCCCCAGGTTGGCAGCTGAGAGTGGGGGCAGGGCCAGAGGCTCATGGCCTGGGGTCTGGGGGACAGCAGAGGGAGCCTGTCTGGGTTGCACCTTTTATTGCCAGAATCCAGCGGCTCCCCATGAGCTGTGCAGGGCTGCACCCCGAGTGCCGCGGACACACACAACGCCAGGCCTGGCACAGCCCCACGCGCTCCCCGCTGTGACACGGGCGTGCGAGAGGCCTCCTCCCTGCCAGCCCAGCACTGGACAAGTCAGCCGCTGGATACCCCCCACGCGGTCCAGAAAGGCTGGGGCAGAGGCTGTGGGCAGGAAGACTCGTTCCCGCTGGAGCATCCGGGCCAGAGGCCTGTGTGGGTGGGTTTGCTGGGCCTGAGCTCAAGAGCCGGGGATGGGGCTGGAAGGTGAAAGGGCAGGTGGGGAGTGAGGACAGGACCAGGAGGTGGCCCCAGTGCCCAGTCCCCAGCTCCATGTCCACACACCGGGAAAGCCCGTGAATGCGGCCTTCGGGGGCCGGGGGGGGAGGGGGGGCAGCGGCCCGTAGGCCCCAAGCCCCGCATGCTCTTCCCGGAAAACCGGCCGGGGCAGGGGGTGGGGGGCCTCCGGCCGGTGGGGGACGCCTGCGTCCTCGCAGGGGCCACTGTCCCTCGCTCCAGGCTTGCCGCGGCCGTCCTGCAGGGGGCGCCCTAGAGCGGCCGCGGCTCGGGCTGCAGCTGGACGCTGGCGGTGAAGCGGCGGCTGGGCCGGCCCAGGCTGCAGCGCAGGGTGGTGCGGAAGGAGCTGCGGGCGCGCTTGGGGAAGACGATGGTGGTGCAGCAGTAGTGCAGCGCGCGCGGCCGGGGCTCCAGGGTCAGCTGGCTGCGGTAGCTGCGCCACGTGCAGTTGGGGGCGGCCACGATGGTCTCGCTGTAGCCCGTGACCGTGGGCACCGGCGCGTAGAAGACCTTGTCCCGGAAGTGCTTCTCCGAGGCGTACGTGACCTCCGAGTTGCATCTGGGGAGGGCGAGGGGGTCGAGTGAGCCCAGGCCGGGGTGGGCACGGGTCTGGGGTCAGACAGCAGGAGTGACCCCGGCACGGTCGTGTGTGGCCCAAAAGGAGAGACAAAAACAGAGATGCGACACGGGCACCGCCCTGACTGGGTCCCGAGGGGGGGGGCCTAAGAGGGCACCGTTGGGGGCGGGCAGCACGCACGGCCTGGCAGGGCCCGCAGTGCTCCAGGGCTGCTGTCCTGACTGTCCCATGGCAGGCCCACAGGTGCGTGGGCAAGACCCGTGGGCCGGCCTCCACCCTGGGGGGCAGCCCCGAGTCCAGTCCCAGGAGGTGATGGAAGGGGTGTGGGCACCGCCAAGGGGCTGGGCGCCTCTCAAGCCACCCACACAGGCGAAGCTGTGAACAGGCATGCAGACGGTTCGGGGGACAGGGGGACGCTCACTCCCACGCAGCGCCCAGTCTCACAGGCAGTGGAGACCCCGCCCCGCAAGGGCCCAGCACAGGCAATGAGCCCCCAAAGGGTGGTCACAGGTGATGCCGTGAGGCACAAGGCTGTGAGGTCTGGGACGTGCGGGGATGAAAACGAACATCGGCCCATTGGAGCAGGTTGGTGGGGAAGGCAGGCCGAGGAGCCGCCGGCCAGAATGTGGGGTTCTGATTGTTTGCTTGCTTTGGTTTGGGGGGGCCATTCCCAGTAGTGTTCAGGGATCACTCCTGGTGTGCTCAGGGATCACTCTGGCAGTGCTCAGGGACCACTCCTGGCAATGCTCAGGGATCACCCCCAGCAGTGCTCACCATCACTCCTAGTGGTCTTGGGATCACTCCTGGTGCTGCTGGCTGGAGACCCCCATGTGTTTTGTGTCCCGCGTGACTCAGCCCCAGCCTCCCCCAGCCCAGTGGCTGCACTCACCGGATCTCGTGCGTGGGTGCTGGGTTCACCTCGATTCTCTCTCCAAAGAACACTGGCAGCATCCGGGGCCTCATCTCCAGCCCCGGAGCCAGGGGCAGGGGCGGGGGCTGCAGGGAGAGCCAGGCCTTAGCTGCCCGCCCAACCCCCAGGCACAGCTATGACGACTATGGGGGTGGTCTCCTTCCTCACACCTCAGGACCCCCAGCCCCTCAGGGCAGCCCCTACTGGTGGACTCTGGCACTTGGGCACCTCCCTGAGGACAGGCCTGGTCAGATGGGGGCCTGTGGTGGGCCAGTGACACTCCCACCCAGGATATCTGGAGAGGTGGGGCCCAAGGGGAGCCAGGGGGCAGTGCACCCACATTGGCCTAGGAATCCCGCGGGAGGCATGGGTCTCGCCAGCCTTCTGATGGCCGGATCAGACGGGAGACGGCTTCAAGTGCTGCAGCATCCCAGGGTGGGCAAGGGCGCCCACAGCCCCGCCATGCTCATGAGACGAGCCTCCCCTTGGGGGTAGCCCCAGAGGAGCCACCACTGTCCAGGAGCTGCCATGTCCCCAGGGTCCTGCAGGGAGTGACACCAGGCCCCCGAGACTGATGTTCTGAAGCAGAAGCCCTGGGTGACAGAACTGGGCTCGGTGCGGTGCTCCATGCCCTCAGGCAACACGGCCCCAGCACTCCAGGATGCCGAGCACGCCCCCCAAAGGACAGACCCCAAGCCCCTGGACTGAGTACCTGCTGTGTGTGAACATGTACTGCACGCGGAGTGCCCGTGTGCTGAGTGCCTATTGCATGCTGAGTACTATGTGCTGAGTGCCTGCTGTGTGCTGAGTCACTGGTGTGTTGAATACTATCTGTATGCTGAGTATTTGCTCTGTGCTGAGTGCCTGTAGTGTGCTGAGTACCTATGTGCTGAGTACATGATATGTGCTGAGTACCTGTGTGCTGAGTGCCTGCTGTGGGCTGAGTACCTGCTGTGCAGTGAGTACCTGTGTGCTGAGGACCTATGTGCTGAATCACTGATGTGTTGAGTACTGGCTGTGTGCTAGTACCTGCTGTGTGCTGAGTGTCTGCAGTGTGCTGAGAACTGGCTGTGTGCTGGATACCTGTTGTGTGCTCGGTACTTGCTGTGTGCCGGGTGCTGTGTGCTGAGTGCCGAGGCGTGCAGGCACTGTGACACCCTTGTGGTGTGGAGCGTGCCAGCCCGGAGCTTGAGGAATGCAGCGGAATTTTCCTGTGCAGAGCCCCGCTGTGGCCCCTCCCCTGCCCAACTCAGACCCCTGCCCCGATGACCTCCTCCCCCATCCCAGTGACCTCACTGGCCCCCCCCGGTCCAGCTCTCCCACCACCTGGTTGCCAACTCGGCTCCCCCAGTTTCACCCAAGGGCCCTCCACGTGGCCCTACACCTGGGGGCGTGAAGGTGCCCTCCCTGCCTGACCTCTCAGGGACAGTGCTGAGCCCGGAAGCCTTACAGTGGCCCAGGAGGACCAGGCTGGACCCTGTGTCCCAGGCCATGTCCCCACATAGCACGGGGGTGTGGGGCCTGGACTGGGAACCCTCGGACCCCTGAGCCTAGGTGTGGGGGTCGTGCAGAAGCTGCCGATTCCCCCGAGAAGAGGAGCAGGACACAGGTGCCCTCACACCCTCGGAGCCACTGCAGGGGCTGGCACCGCCCAGGCACCGTAGCCAACCTAAGCCCCATGGGCAGGACGGCCTGTCTCTGTCCCCCTGCACGCCCCCCACAGCTCGCTGTGCCTTAAGCTGGGGAAAACGGTTAACAGATCCAGGCAGTAGTTAAATTTAAGAAAAGACCCTGCGGCTGGAGCAATAGCACAGCAGGGAGGGTGTTTGCCTTGCACGTGGTCAACCCAAGTTTGATTCCCAGCATCCCATAGGGTCCCCTGAACACCACCAGGAGTAATTCCTGAGTGCAGAGCCAGGAGTAACCCCTGTGCATCGCCGGGTGGGGCCCACAAAGAAAAAAAAAAAGACCTAGGTCAGTGGCGAGTGCCACAGGGAGGCCCTTAGGAGCGCTGGGGGCAGGTCTGAGACTCAGTATCCCCTCCGGGAAAGGGGCATCTGGCTGTGGGCTTCACGGGATGCAACAGCACCTGGCCTTGCCCCCTGTCCACAGGCAGGAGAGCCCCCAGCTCAGCCCCCCACCCCAGCACGGGGGTCAGGGACACCGGTCAGGGCCGTGACGCTGCTTGAGGCAGGGACAGCACCAAGCAAGGCAGCCAAGTTTCGTCCCCGAGGCGGCCCTGTCCGGCTGGTGGGCAGAGCCTTCCCAGAAAACCCTCTGTAGAAAGGGCTCCAGGTGGCCCAGACGGCTCCCGTCCCTCTCTGAGGAGCCCCAGCTCCGAGGAGCACTGTAGCCAGAGTCTTCATACAGCAACACCCCCACCAAGGCTGGCTTAGGCGCACACCCGGACTGCTCTGTCCACGCGGGCCCCAGAGCTAAATCCTGACCCTCCGCCAGGGCGCCTGGGGCTGCGAGCTGGCAGGCGTGGGTTTGGGGTCCGAGCTCCAATGCCAGGTCCCAGTGGGGGCTCCTGTGCCGGAGCCGGGGGTCCCGAAACGCCTGTCGTCAGGCCTGTGCTCCTGCCCACTGGAGGGGCGCTGGTGCAGGGAGGTGGGGGCCGGGCAGGCGCCCCCAGGAGGCGCCGCAGACGCTGAGGCTGCAGAAGAGACGGCAGGCGGTGCCCACCTCTGCGTGCAGCGACCGGTTCCCGCGGGGACGCGTGACCCCGCCACGCCGGCGCCCCGGGTTCACCTGAGCCAGGGCCCACGGGCTGGCTGGACCATTCTCGCCGACCTGGGGCTCCAGCTCCCGAGAGCCGCCTCGGTCCACGTCAACATTCCTGGGCCGGGGAGCGCAGGCGGGCTCCCGTCTGGGCTCAGATTTTGAGAAAAAGGAAAAACCCCGAAACACGCAAACCAACTTTCTTCTGCCCGGCGCGGGCGCAGATGCCAGCGCGCGGCCACCGCGCCCAGGCGGGCCGGGGGCGCGGACACTGCCCGGACAGTGCCCGGACAGTGCCCGGCCCGCGGGAGCGCGGCGCTGGCCCGAGGGCAGGGGCCACCGCGTCCAGGCGGGCCGGGGGCGCGGACACCGGACACTGCCCGGCCCGCGGGAGCCCGGCGCGGGCGCGTCCGCAGGTCCTGCGCGCCCTACCTGGGGGCCGGGAGAGGGGTCCGGCGGGCGGGGGGCAGGAGGGACCCCCGGCACCGGCCGCGGGCGCTGCTTACCGCTCGGCCGCGTCCGGGTCCGGCGCCCCCCGCGCGCGCCTCCAGGGCGCAGAGGGGCGGGCTGGGGCTGGGGCTGGGGCTGGGGGGCAGCCCCGAGTCCGGACTGTCCAGCAGGCCCTCGCGCCTCTTCTCCTTGAGGCCGTCCTCCATGTCCCGCAGAGGCAGGTGCCCCACCATGTCTGGGGGGCGCGGGGCGCGGGCCCCGGCGGCTGGGGGGCTGCGGCTCGGCCCGCGCCCCCGCGCGCCCACGCCGGGCTCCGCGCTGCCCGCTCCGCCGCCGGCCCGGCCCCGCGCCCGCCCCGCGGCCTCCCGGCCCCGTCCCCGCCGTCCGCGCCGCGCCCAGGCGCCGCCCCCGGCCCGCCCCGCGCCCCCCGCCCGCGAGGGCGGCGCCCAGGGCGGGGTGCGCGCCCGTGCGCGGGGCCTCTGACGCGGACCTCGGAGTGCACGGGCAGGGAGTGGACAGCCGGGGACAGGCCTGGGTCGCGGCGCGCAGGAGGCTGGAGAACGTTCTGGAGTCAGCAGAGGTGACCCTCACCCCGCTTCCTCCCTCCCAGCCCGCGGGACCCTCGGCTGCTGAGGGGACACCTGGGTGCGCTGTGCCCGCAGCCCCGGGGGCCCAGGGGGCTTTGGAGAGAGAGCTGGAGAGGCAGGGGTAAGGGGCGGGTCAGAGTGGCCCCCAGTGCTGTGACTCTGGAAGCCCCCCACCTCCAGAGCCGCCGTCCAGGCCAGGCGAGCCGTGGATCCCAGTGCAGGGTCCAGCCCCCAACTGCCCCTCTGGTGACAGGGAGTGCTGGCTCAGTGGGGACAGTCCCTGCAGGGGTGCGGTGGGGAGGGCTGGGCTCACAGTGCTGGTGATGGAATGCGGGAAGTTAGGCCAGAGCAGAGGTTTGAGCTTCTGGGACACTCTGGGGTGGGGGACAGAGCCCCAAGGAGAAGGTTGTGCCCGATTTTGGTCACGGAGATGAAACCAGGCCAAAGTGCAGGGGCGACAGGACGGGGAGGGGAGGGGCGGAGGGCGTTTCCCTGCTGCAGCCACCTGGGTCTGTCCCCGGCACCCCATAGGGTCCCAGAGCCCCCAGGAGTGGTCCCTGAGCACAGAGCCAGGAGTCAGCCCCGAGCAGTGCCAGGGTGGCCTCTAACGAAAACGAAACCGAGGAAAGTATATTGGAAGGAGGAGTGGGAGAGGGGGCTCCCGCCTCCCACCCCCCCACCCTGTCCCTCGGCACGGCCGGAAGCAGCCCTGATACCCCAGCTGTGGCCTCCCCGCACCAAAATAAAGGAAATTAAATGAGTCTGCGTGGAGAAACCAGTCTGCAGTGACTCCACCTCTGGCTAAGTCCCTTCCACTGCGCCCAGCCTTCCCCCAGCGCCCTGTGTTCTGGAAGCTTCCCTGTGCCCACCCACACTGGCAGTGGGCTGCCCTGTGTGTGGTGACACTGGAGAACGTGGCCCCAGCACTGAGGGCTCAGGGCAGCGCCTTTGGCTTCTCGTGACGGTCACACGGGAAAGGCCAACATCTCCGCCAGGGGTCATCCAGCCTCCCGTCCCTGCAGTGGGAGGCAGGGAAGCAGCCTGCAGGGCTGCGGGGGTGGGGAGGGGCCGGGGGCCTCTACCCAGGACTGGGGCCTCAGCTCCAGACTTCAGGGGTCCCGGAGGCCTCGAGGGTTGTAAGGACGATGAGGCCCGCAGGCCCCCAGGTGGATTGTGGTGAGGGGAACTTGGGCAGAGGAAGCAGACACCGGACACGGGTCAGAGCAGGGGCGGGCTCGTACCCCAGCCCAGAAGGAGGAGTTTGGGGATCACTTGCTTCGAGGGTCCGTGGCTGGGAGGGGAAAGGGTGACCCCGGATGGCCCCAGTTTTCAGGGGTCCGCCCAGCACCCAGGCTCACGGGGAGAAACTGTTGTAGGAAGGCGACCTGACTCCAGAACGTTCTCCAGCCTCCTGCGCGCCGGGGCCCAGGCCTGTCCCCCGCTGTCCACTCCCTGCCCGTGCACCCCGAGGTCCGCGTCAGAGGCTCCTCGACCCCAACGCCAGAGAGGGACTTTTTAGAGATAAAGTCTCTGAAGCCAGGGTTCCTCTCTGGCAGCCCCAGAGAGGTCAGCACCGAGCCTGACCACCAGGGAAGCCAGCATGGAGGAGGTGTGGGGCCATGGCAGGGAGGCAGGGCCAGGTGCCCTTGCAGCAGCAGCAGGTGCTCTGGGGTTTGCCCGGGACCCCAAGACCCTGCTGAGCCAGCAGCTGAGCCCCCACGCTGTGTCTGAGTGCACACACTGCACAGCCGCCCCGGGAGCCCCTGGCCTTTATTCTCAGAGATGAGAGACACGGGCAGTGGGCCAGAGCCACAGGGGACCGGGCTCAGGGCACCCGCTGGGACTCTTTCTTGGTCATTATTCTGGCACCTTTGGGGACAAAATCACCCTCCAGGGGAAGTCCCAGAGAGGCCTGTGCTTCACGCCCTGCCCTGGCGACACCCAGCGGGAAATATGAGCCCGCCCCCCCCCCCGCCCCCCCGAGGGTCCAGCAGGGCCGGGAGCTTCAGTTCCAGGACTCAGGGGCGGCTCCACAGCCTCCGTGCCTCTCGACCCAGTGCTCTCTGGGGCGGGACGCTAACGGGTGGACTAGGCAAGGGACCCAGCAGAGCCGCAGCTCAGTGCCTGCCAACCCCACATGGTGCCGCCCTCCCAGCTCAGCGCAGCGAGTCGCCCAGACTCTGGACACGCACACACATGCATGCACACACACGCATGTGCACACACACACACACACACACTTGGCACTTGAACGTTTTTAAGGAAGAGCAGGGTATGACAGGGCGATGCCAGGAGTCCCCGCGCTCATTTCCCCGCTTGCCCTGCTCACCCCAGGACTTTCCGAGGTCCCCGCGGGCACGTCTGGGCAGACGTGCCCGCGGGTCAGGGACACGCCGAGCCCTGAGTCACACTCCGTTTTTAGCGTGTCCTCTCCTAGCCCGAGGCCTTGTCTTTGCTGGGCAGCTGTCAGGCTGGGCGGGGCGCCCGGGGTAGGGGGCAGGAGCCGGTGTCCGCCTGGAAGGCCAGCCTGTGATGACCCGTGGCCGGGGAGGGAGAGGTGGGCCAGGCAGGCGAGGTGTGTGTGGGCATGGCCCGGGCCGAGCGTTGTGCAGGGCCCCCACTGGGATTCCCGCCAGAAGCTGGGCCCCGCCTCAGGGCCTGTGCCCCGGGCACACCCTGACCAGGAACTCTGGGCTCCTTCCCCTTCGGGAACGGGCACCCGCGCCCCGCACCTTCCTGTGTCAGAGCCCTGAGCCAAAGCGGCCGTTTCTGCATCTTCTCCCAAGCCGAGAGACAAACCCTGATTTCTGCCCTCACTAAGGCAGGGCAGGAGGCTGGGGAGACGCTGGGGGGGGGGTGTCTTGGGAGGAGCCGCAGACCTGGAAGTTCAACGCCCCTCACCTCCGGGCCTCACCGCTAGCGTGTCTGCAGGAGCATGCATGTAACAGACGTGTGCTGAGTGTATGTGTGACCCATGTACTGTCTCTGCGTGCACATGCGTCACATCTGGCCTGCATGGACAGACATCATGACGCGGCACCCCGGCTTTTCTGACACGGCTCTGAGAACAAGATTCCCCCCAAATCCAGCTTCTTCAACTGTGGGTCCCCTGGGATGGGGGCCACGTGACTGGACGTAGGGGTCGCAGGAAGCCTGGGATCAGGAAGAGGTCTCTGGATGCCGATGACCCAAGAACACAGACCCCCCAGTTGGCCAGAAGCCGTGGGTGGACATTCAGGCAAGGTGTGGGGGGGCTGTTCCGAGCTCCCACGGGCCTGCCCGCGCGCCCACTTCCCAGAGCCCCCTCCTTCAGGTGGTTGGTCTCACGACTCCCGAATGTCCTTGGAGGGTCCCGGCACTGGGCGCTGGGCTCTGCCTCTGCCCAGGGGTGTCCAGGGGGTGTCTAGGCCCTGTGCGGGAGGCAGGAGGCGGCTGCCTCGCTCACGGCTCCAGGCCCCCGCACCGTGCAGAGCTCCTTTGGGTAGGCTCAGAGAGACCCAGGGACGCCGTCACCTCCCTCCGCATCTCATCCAGGACCAGACAGGACAGGTCATGTCCCAGCAAGCAGGGCATGTGGCCCTTGGACTGTGGAGCCGCACGCAGACTCTGAGGGACATCGGCCCCCCAGTCTTCTCTGCTCCCTCGTGCCCTGGCCAAGGCTGGCCACGTCTCATCTTCCTCCGCCATGGAGCTCCCCCGGGACAGTCGGGGGCACCCCCCTGGGCCTCCTCAGACTCACACCCAGAAACCTCCATGTCCAGACTCCCCGGTGCCCCTCCCTGGGACAGTGTGTGTGCAGGGGGTGGGGGGTCTCAAAGGTGCCTGCCATCCTGGCCTATTCCAGTTCTTTTCTCTGTCCAGAAATTGGGGTGTCGTACACATGGTGGGTGCTGCCCAGCCCCACCCTCCATAGGTCCTTTCTCAAAGAGCAAGTGTCAACAGGCCAACGACCGTTCCAGCGGCCACCAAGCTGAAGGTGGGGAGCTGAGTGCCCGGGGGCCAAGGGCAGGTGGACGCCCAGGCAGACCAGGGAGGGGTACGGGTCCGAGCAAACAGTGTCTCTGCTCCTTCCTCACGGCCACACCCGGGCAGGGTCCCTGTGGTGGTTTAGCTGAGAGTGTGCCCGCAAGGGCGGAGGTCGGAAGCAGAGAAGAGGCGCCAGCAGCAGGCAGGGGTGGCTGGACGCCGGGACAGGCGTGGCCACCCCCTTCTGTCCACACCTGCAGCCAGATGTGGAACCCACCCAGGTGGGAAGGTGGGAGAGAGGCACCGAGCCGGGTCCTGCAGGGAGCGAGACCACCTGGTACAGCCGGGCGGAGAAGCCCAAGGAGCCGGGCTTTAGATGGTGGGAGGGCCAGAGCGAAGGGTGGGCGAGGGACGGAAGCAAGCACAGGTTCTCTGCCCAGAGGGCACAGAAGGTGCAAAGGCCCTGGGGCAGCTGTGAGGGAGGTGATGTCTGCAGAGTGGGAAGGGACAGAGACAGGGAGTCGAGAGGGAAAGGAAGGAGCAGCGAGCAGCAGTGGGAGGGGTGGGTGAGGTGCGGGGGCTTGGTAGGAAGCCTGGGCTCTTGGTTCTTTGAGGGGGTCTCAGGGTCCTGGGCCCCTTCCAAATTCGCGACCACCTGGCCGGGTGGTTCACTGCAAGCGCAGAGGATGTGCCACCGCTCAGCCCTGGGGGCGCTCGTGCCACACCCGGCTGCTCAGGGGTTGATTTGGGGCTGAGTTGATGCCGACTAT